CATAAGTTAGCTCCTCCTCCTCCTCTTTGTTAGGGGAAGGAGCACTGAAGTTCATTCATCTTGTAAGCCTTAAGCTCTCATTACTTATTAGAAGTATTTGATTCCTGATTTTAGAAAGGCTTAAGGTTTTTTTTCCTTTTTCATTTACAAACCAACTACAGTTTCCTCTCCCTCCTCTCCTCCTGAAAGTTGTAAGTAAAGGTTTTTTGTGGATTTTAGGTTGCAGCGAATGCCAATATGCTAGTGTTGCTAATATAGGAAAGATACTTAGAGTCTTTGGGGAAATTCCGTGTCTCAAACTTTCATGGCAGGAGTCTGCTTGCAGTATTAAGGGACAGAGAATGTAAGAAGCACTGTACATTACAGTGTTTTATTTTAGCATTAAGCTGTATTTACATACATCCCACATCTTACAGGTATGCTAAGTGAACTTGACGTTGATGTAAACGAAGGGTCCTTGATGGAGCTCCAGGGACACATTGGAAGATTTCAGGTAATGAACTGGTTCCTCAAATAGCCGTTTTAAGGTGCTGCCCCTGGACTAGAGCAGCTCCTTTCAGCTGTTTCATGGCTTCTTGATGAAGCTGAATGTTGTGCATTTTTGGGACTGCTTGGTTTTCCCAGAATCACCTTCTGACTTTCTACTGTGGATGAAGATGTAGTGTCTTTATTCCTGCTCTTCCAGTGTTTCCTAGCACACACTCCTAAAACTTTAACACAGCTGTATCACAGGGGTTGTTTTTGTTTTTGTTTTTAGAGTCAGGGTTTCTTTCTTTAGCTTTGGAGCCTGCCCTGGCACTCACTCTGTAGACCAGGCTGGTCTTGAGCTCACAGAGATCCACCTACCTCTGCCTCCCGAGTGCTGGGATTAAAGGCGTGCGCCACCACCGCCCAACTATCACAGGGTTTTTATATTACTGTTCAGCTATTATGACTATGTGAGTGTTGTTGATGAGCAACTGTTAATCTTACTGGTTTATTTGTTTTTTGAGAGGAACATTGGGGTGTAGCCCTGGCTGACCTGGAACTCTCTGGGTAGATAGACTAGGCTGGCCTTGAACTTGCAGCAGTCCTGATTCCTCTGCTTCCAGTGTGCTGGAACTACACCTGTGTGTCCCCCACCTGCTGCTGACACCTTTCTCCTGCAGTTGACAGCTGTCCCTGCTCCCTTGCTCCCTCTTGACTTTCTGAGGCACGGTCTCACATAGCCAGTCTGGCCTTGATCTACTAAGTGCTAAAAGTGGTTTTTGTGTATTATTAGTTTATTTCTAAATTATTCTTCATGCATATAATCCTCCAGCATATTTAAATGTATTAGTTTATCAATTAGGTATTTTCTCAGAGGCTTTCTAAAAGCCTACTGATCTGCTTTGACCTAAACATCCTCCCTTCTTACTAGCTATAAAATAATTACAAATAAGAATTTACATTTTTTAAGGTTTATGATGTATGCTGTGCTCTGCCTGCATGTATCTCTGCAGGCCAGAAGAGGGCACCAGATCTCATTATAGATGATTGTGAGCCATCATGTGATTGCCTGGGAATTGAACTTAGGACCTCTGGAAGAGCAACCAGTGCTCTTAACCTCTGAGCCCTCTCTCCAGCCCCACATTTTGTTGTTTTTATATAATAGTTTTCATAACCAGTTATCTTTTCATATTCTATTTTTTTCAAGTTTTCAAATAAAATTGCCAGGATAATAGAGGAGTGGTTTCCTGGCCTGTGCAGGGCACTGAATTTGAAGCCCTAGTCCTACGTAGGTGGTGATGGTGGCTACTGACTCGTACTTGGTTTTAAATGTTGGGTTTAGTTACATACATGATACAGTAGGTTCAAGTACATGCATATGGTATGTTTGACACCATGTTGTTAAATACCTTTCCAGAAGGACTTGCATTCACTACCAAATCTCCCCCCCCCAAATTTTCACTTTTTGTTCCTTCTTCATCAAAAGGGAAAAAAAAGACCTCTGGAAATATTGGAACATGGTTATTTTATCTGTAAAAGGAGCAAACATGGGGGAAAGTACTTAAGATTTCAATCTGACAATATTTACATTAAAGTTTTAAGTTATCTGTTTATTGTGTGTGTGTGTGCACACATGTGCCACTGTGTACACATGGAGGTCAGAGGGTAATTTTTGGGAGTCTGTTCCTACATATAGGCCACAGGGTCAAACATAAATTGTCAGCTTTGGCGTTTACCTGCTGACAAGACATCCCACAAGCCCTAACATTTGCATGTTAGCTGTCTATAAATTCCTAACTCCTCCAGGGAGTCCCCTGAAGCTGGAGTTAACAGCCTTTAAGCTTGAGTGCTGGTAAGATCACATATTTGTTACTGACTGTCTTGTAATTGCCTTCTTAGATATAGCTTTCATTTGTTTATTAACTAGTATTTCTTTTTATAGCTGTCTCATAAAGGATTATTAAATATTTTTATATAGGACACAAATTTTCTTCAGAAACATTTAGGCTATCTTGGAGATCCTTTGTGGAGAAGGAATCTTCCCTTTGAAAAAAGGTGGATTTTGTCAAGCCTAACTTAGAGGTAGTTGTCTTAGTAGTAAAGATACCATGTGGTTTCGAGAATAATTCCTCTCCCTGCTGAATTTTTTTCCCTTCTACCTCAAGAAAAATGAGGTAACTGATGGTAAACTCCTTCAGCCTGCAGTGAACAGTGTGCCTTTTCTCTGTAGCGCCAGTGTTTAGGACTACTAAGTCGCTTCGGTGGCTCCGACAGACTGCGGCAGTTTAAATTCCAGGAGGACAGTGTAGAGGGAGATCGAGTGAGCAAGAAAGATGAAATTGAGCTGGCCATGCAGCAGGTAAGAAGGCATGAAAATTGTGTGCCTGGAGTTTTTATGGTTTTGGAGATTTTGACAAAAATAACTATTGTGTGTAATTTTACAGATTGATTTGTGACCTTGTTCTCCTGCAGTCAAACTGCTGTGACTTTGAGGGATTCTTAGGCTAACGCCCTAGTTACTCCTTTTCCTCTGCTGTAGGTCTGTGCCAATGTAATGGAGTATTGCCAGTCACTCATGCTCCAGAACTCCCCTGCCTTCCAGAGTGCCGTGTGTCTCTTCACCCCCAGCCTTTCAGAGACCATTAACAGAGACGGGCCACGACAAGGTGAGCCCGGGTTTGGTTACTGTGTCTGAGGAACAGCTTCCTTTGTCATAGCTCCAATGAGATGCAGTTTGTTCTTGATGAATTACTAATGGGAAAACTTTAAAATGACTTTCTTTTTTTTTTCTGATTTTTTTGAGACAGGGTTTATCTGTGTATCCCTGGCTGCCCTGGAACTCACTTTGTAGACCTAGCTGACTTCTAATTCAGAGATCCTCCTGCTTCTGCCTCCTGACTGCTGGGATTAAAGGCGTGTACCACCACTGCCTGTTACAAAATGACTTTTTAAAGAAAACACATAAGGCTGGAAGCATAGAGATTAAGGAAAGTCTTTGGATTTTTGAGGCTAAAACTGTAAGAGCCATGTAGGGGAATGTAGTTTTAAATAATACCAGAGGTCCCCCCAAAAAGCCTCTAGAACTGAAGAGAGAGCTAGCTGGGTGAGATGTACGACACTTACTGAGTTAGCTTTCTGTGCTGAATTCAGGGTCTGAGTGGGCCATGTGTTACAGTTCCTCGTTTCTGTCACGTGACAGTAAACTTTTAGGTGTTAGGTAGTCTCTGGTGTCTTTAAAAGTTAGCAGTGAAGGTCAAATTGCCATCCTGTGGGACACACTAAAGACAAAGCTGTTGGACACTGGTTTAGTGGTAATGGAACTTGGTACTTTTCAGGGTGTCTTCCAAGTTTCTTGCAACAAAGTCTGGGTAGCTTAACTAGGTTGGGTATAGAATGATTATGAATCCTGTCCAGAGACCCCCATTTGATTTACAGTCACCCACCAGTGACTTCCTTCTTTCTATTCTTTGAGACAGTGTTTTCCTGTGTACCCCGGGCTAATCTTAAACTAAATTTGTAGCTCAGGCTATTCCTAACCTCACTGTCCTTTTGCATCCTCAGTGAAATGCAGCCTAGTAAAAGGCAAGTTGCTTTTTGTTTTGCTCTCATGGGGAGTTGTAGTGAGACAGGTTAAAATTAATTCCAGTTAATTTTTCATGTATTTCTTTGGAAGAATGACTTAAAGCTGTCAGTTCAGCAACCAGAACAGTGCAGATTAGAAGGAGAGAGAGAGAGAGAGAGAGAGAGAGAGAGAGGGAGGGAGGGAGGGAGGGAGGGAGGGAGGGAGGGAGGGAGAGAGAGAGAGAGAGAGAGAGAGAGAGAGAGAGAGAGAGAGAGAGAGAGAGAGAGAGAGAGAGAGAGAGAGGAGGGAGAGACTCTGAAGTGACGCAGCAGATAAGAACACTTATTTTTCTTCAAGAGGATTCAGGATCAATTTACAGCACCAACATTGTGGCTCACATCATCTGTAGGCATGACATGGTACACATACATAATATATGAAGGCAAAACACTCTTTGGAAAGTTTGTATATATGGGTGGGTGTGAAAGCCCACTAGCCTTTTTTTTTTTTTTTTTTTTTTGTTTTTGGTTTTTACGAGACAGGGTTTCTCTGTATTGTTTCGGAGGCTATCGGTCCAGCCCGGCCTCGAACTCACAGAGATCCGCCTGCCTCTGCCTCCCGAGTGCTGGGATTAAAGGCGTGCGCCACCACCGCCCGGTGCCATATTTCTTTACTGTCTATCTTGACTACAGTGGCACTTAACCCCTTGTGTTTAATCTAACAAGTGTTTATTTATTTTGAGATTGCGCTTTATTTTGTGTGCAGGGCCTTTGGAGACCAGGAGAGGGTATCGGCTCCTCTGACACTGGAGTCACAGAGGGCAGTTGTCAGCCCCGTGTGAGCGCTGGGAATTAAACTGGCTTCCCCTGGGAGAGGAGCCAGTGCTCTTCACCAGCGCAGCCGTGGTGCTTAAATGTGGCCTTGAGCTGTTCTTAGTCTTATCTTACATGACCTAAGTTATAGAGCATCTGTAGTTTTTACAGGTGGCTTAAAATTCACAGAAAGTTGTTTTTCCAAGGTGAGGCCCATCCATGGAACTCGAGGTTCGCTGACCCCTGTGAGTTGCCCAATGTGGGAATCTCCACTGTGTAATTTGTGTGACAGTAGAGGACTGCTTTCTTGTTCTCCTTTTGAAAAGAAGCAAGCGAAGGAAACTGATAGAAGATGTGTCTAAGGAGAGCACTGTTTTCTGTTACCTCTTAGATACTCAGCTTCCAATGGTTCCATATTGGCGCCTGCCTGGCTTGGGCATTATTGTCTACTTGCTGAAACAGAGTGCCAGTGATTTCTTTAGCTATTATGACAGTCACCGACGCAGTGTCAACAAGCTACAGAATGTAGAACAACTTCCCCCAGATGAGATAAAAGAGGTATGAACCTTATAATGAACTGTGGGGTTGGAAAAGTCTTTCCTGCACCAACAAGGGTCCGGGTACAAGGCTTGAACTCGGGGTAAAGATGAGACACTCAGTGTTACTAAAGGATCTGCACTGATTTCCCTTTGTGCATACCTTGTAAGCACGAACCTCTTGACTTCAGAAATAGTCAAGTGTCTCCTCAAGAAAATGGGAGGGTGGCCTCCCCAATAAAGAGCTTCCAGTAATCTCTTCAAATGTTGCAGAGAAATGGGACTTTCTGTTGCAAATGTTTTTGCAGTAGAACGTGGGCGGTTGTCTGTCTTCAGCGTCTTCCTGTTGTACTGAAGTTTCCAAACAGATGGCATGGCATATCAGTCCTGATCACTTATGTCTAACACATATCTGCCATTCCACTTTGTCCTGAAGATACTTGACAAAGTCATGCCAGTTTTTTCTCCTACTGCTTCAAAGGACTGTTTAATTTAATAGGACACCAAGGACTGGTGGGCCGCTTGTGGGTTGGAAGTGTCTGTCAGACTTTCAAAGGCAGCAGATAAACATTCATATGGGAATTGACTGCTTCTTTAAATCTTATCTTTTGATAATTAGCTCTTGTCCACAAAACTGTATAAATACATTTGAGTGTTTTCACAGTTCTTACTGTAATGACCTGTCCATAGTACATTATTTTGTTTTAAGTTGTTACAATTTATACTTTCTTTTCCTTAGTTGTGTCAGTCGGTGATGCCTGCTGGTGTTGATAAAATCTCTACTGCGCAAAAGTGTGTCTTAGCGAGGCGGCGTCTGGTGAAGCTAATCAATAACCGTGCCAAGCTGCTGTCCCTCTGTTCCTGTATCCTTCTGCAACCTCAGCCCAGAGTGCAGACCCTAACTGTGGCAGGACTTACTCGGTTCTTACATCATCCAGCTACCAAAACCATATGGAAGGGACATAATGATTGTTTAGTGGCCTATCTTTTTGCCCAGTAAATACCTGATGTATTTCCTCCTTGTTATTTTTATTCTTACCTCCTTAAGTAGCTAGGGGTACTGTAAAATCTGCAGATGCGTACTGTCTGGGCAAGAGGCTGCTGGCATAGTACCCTGTGGTCCTCACCTCCCATAGCTCATGTTGCAGCTTTTTCTGGAAGCATGTTCAGTGGAACTTCACCCCTGTCTGCTAGAGAAAGTTCATGGTGCATAATCAAGCACGGGCTCTTCTTTTCTCCTCCTTGGAAACTGGTTTGTAAAAAATATGTGATGAGATTCTTTAATCTGAACTCCAGTTATCATAGAGACCTGCCTGTTTATTCTTTGGCGCCATCTGGAGTACTACTTGTTACATTGCACGCCAACAGATTCCCAGGACTCCTTGTTTGCCTGCAGGACCTTATTTAAAAACAGAAGACTACAAGGTAAGCTGTTCTCAAAACAGATGAGCCAGGAAAGTGTCTACATTTTATTGCCCTGAAAAGCCAGCTGTTTTTGTTTGTTCTTTGCAGCAAGGTCTTGTTTTATTTCCCAAACAGGCCCTAAACTCCTGGGCTCAATTGATCCAGCCTCCTGAGTAGCTGGATTGTGGTGGATGTACACCACAAACTATTCCACGCCACCTTGAATTGTATGTTTCAGTTTTCTCCGTGAATCAAGTGCTGGAGAGCTAAATAGTAAACACAACTTTTTTTTTTTTTTTAACTCTCTGCCCCTGAGAAGTTTTTCTGGAGCCTGCTTATTTGTTGTCCTGTGTTTTCCTGTAGGTAGGTTTGCCCCAGCCGCAGAGTCACGTCAGAGCTGATTTTTCAGAAGAATAGATAGATGCAGGCGATTGTTGTGCTGGGGCTAGGATGTCGGTGAACATGTGTTAGACTCCTAAGGGAAGGGTGAGCCCCATCCTGGACTGGGACGTGGGTCCCAGGCTCCAGTGCTCAACGCTGAGTTTAGATCCTAATCACTGTGGTCCGTGTGCTGCTGCCGGCAGGTGCCTCTGCTGTGGCGTAGGCGCATGCTAGCAGAGCTGCTTCACTGTGTCTCTTATCTCCAGATTCCTTTTCCTCAGAACCCAATCTGGACTTCAGAAGTGGGCTGGCTCTAGTGAGCCAACATGATATAGACCAGGTAAGGCTGTCCTCATACTCTGTTTTCTTTAAAAGGGGAACTTGGTGTATTGATAAAAGTAGAGAGTAAAACTTGCTTTGTAGTCACTAAAAACACTCTTTTTTTTTTTTTGAGAATTCTTTATGTGTATATGAGAGAGTTTGTGTATATGTATGTGCACCGTGTGTGTGTGGTACCCTAGTAGGCCAGAAGAGGGCTTCAGATCCCCTGGAACTGGATTTAGAGGTGGCTGTGAGCTGCTTGATATGGGTGCTGGAAACTGAACCCTGGTTCTTTGTAAGAATACCAAGTGTTGCCAGGTGTTGGTGGCGCACACCTTTAATCCCAGTGCTCGGGAGGCAGAAGCAGGCGGATCTCTGTGAGTTCGAGGCCAGCCTGGTCTACAGAGAGAGTTCCAGGACAGCCTCTAAAACAAGACAGAGAAATCCTGTCTCGAAAAACAAAAACAAAAACAACAACAACAAAAAAGAATACCAAGTGTTCTTAACAACTTGCCTGACACTCAAAAAAATTTTTTTTAATTTTACTTATGGGCGTTTTGCTTTAAAGTGTATCTGTGCAACATGTGTGTGCTGGTGCCCACTGAGGTCAGAAAAGGGCATCAGGTCTCCTGGAACTGAAGTTACAGATGGTTGTGAGCTTCCATGTCAGTGCTGGGAATTGAACTCAGATCCCCTGGAAGAGCAGCTGGTGCTCCTTTTTTTTTTAACTTATTAATTTATTTTTTACATTCCAATCCCAGTTCTCCCTCCCTTCTCTCCTCCTTCCACTTCCTCCCACCCTGCCTCCCATCTGCTCCTCAGAGAGGGTAAGGCCTCCACTAGGAAGCTACTAAGTCTGTCCCATCGTCTCCGTGAGCAGCCAGTGCTCTTAACCATTGAGCCCCTTAACAACTTTACGTGTGGCCTTTAGGAGCTATTTTTGTATGTCAGTTTATCAGCAGTTGTGGCTATTGAAGTTATATCATTAGTTTATATACATTTGTACAGAAATTAAAACCAGAAAACATTCTAAGATAGAAATGTAAGGTTTTGATTCATTTAGTACCCCATAGCAAAATCTGATAGTGTTTGACGTTAGAAAAGTACCTTTGTGAATGTGTGTGTGGATGAGGTGGCTTGGGGTAATGCTGGTGCTGGGTTTCAAACCCAAGGCCTGGCACATGCTGGGTACATAGTCTGCCTCTGAGGTTTACCCCCATCCTATTTTATATAAGAGAGACCGCATTAGAATAGAATGTTTTAAATGGGAAGACAAAGAATGAAATGCCCGAGAAGACAATGTAATAATAAAAGGTTATCTGTGTTACCTCCAGCTTCAGTCTGATGCCATCAATGCTTTTGGAGAATCACTACAAAAGAAACTTCTCGACATTGAAGGGTTGTATTCGAAAGTTCGATCCCGCTATAGTTTCATACAGGCTCTTGTCAGACGTATCCGTGGCCTGCTGAGGATATCAAGGAGTTGAGAGCCGTGTTTTTACTCTTCTGTGGAAGAGATGAACTGAGGAAAACCGTCTCCTTTTTATAGATGACTTTATTTCTAAATTATGACCAAAAGATATTTTGCTATTTCTTTCTTGATATATGGACATCTTTTCTGTAAACCTCTGCCTTATTTCACCCTCACTTGTGAACAATAAAATACTTTTTAAAAAACAACAAAACAATATATGATCAGTCTTTTGAAATTATTAAGACTCAACATAAATGTTTTGATTTTCCTTGGAGAGACTCTGAATTAAAGCATAGTTTGTTTTCAGTTGTTTTGTTGATGCTGAGGTACTCCGTAGCAGAGTGGATAATGAACTAACTATAGCTATGCTCATGCTCGGAAACCAGAACTGCCTCAAATGTCACTCCTTCTCCTAAAGTTAGCTTTGTCTTTCTTTCTTGCATTTCAAATGGCAGCACAATCCGTCTTGGTTTCTTTGAAACGATTGTGATAAGTCTCAAATTAATCTTCCGCCTATATTCTCATGAATGTGGTTGCCGCTGGAGGTATGCTTTCCCTTCCAGCAGAATCTGGCTGGCTGCCCGAGAGGCTGCTGAGAAGGCCTGACTCACAAGAACACAGTGTTGCTGTCAGCCCATCCTATTGTAATTGGTGGCTTATGTTTTAAATTTCACAAAAAAATTCTAGCTTTTAATCATTTTCATTAAATGACTTGGTTATTGCTATATTTTGAGGCCGAGGGCCTCACTCATGGTAGCAAATGCCACATCACTGACCTCTGCCTCCAGCCCACTGTCACCAAGAACACAGCACTGCACCAGCAGCCAGGTGGCCAGGGACAAAGGTGTTTGCTGCCAGTCTGATGGCCTGAATTTGCATTTTGGAAACTACTTGGTAGAGATAGAGAACTAACTGTCTCATGTTGTCCTCTGTTGACTTCTACTGTGCATGGTGGCAAAGTATATCCACATACAAATAACTAAATGTGAACCTACCAACCATCAGCACCTGAGAGGCCTCCGAAGGCAGTGATAGCTTTCACAGGGTTCAGAGACAGCTTGGGGGAGCCAGTTTTCTTTTCACCTGAAGGTTTCAGGTGTTGAGCTTGGTGGCAAGTGCCTTTACCCTCTGAACTACCTTACTGGCTCAGCATTATCTTTCTTTTGTCATTCATTTCTTCTTCTTTTTTTTTTCTTTTGGTTTTTCAAGGCAGGGTTTCTCTGTCCTGGAACTTGCTCTGTAGACCATGCTGACCTCGAATTTAGCGATCCATCTGCCTCTGCCGGGATTAGCGGTAGGTGTGTGCAACCACCACCTGGCAAGCGTTATCGTTTTTATCTCACTCTTCCAGAAGTGCAGAGGCTGGCTCAGAGGTCAGCAGGGCAGCGGGAAGTGTGGGAGGGAGGGGTGCCGTTAGCAGCCGCAGTGCAGCTCACCAGAATTGCCACTTCATGCAGCAGAGGGTAATGGGTGGAAGTAGCCTGAGGCTCTAATACAGGAGACATAGGAAGAAAGGTTATTTATATATGGGCTCCCATGCAGAGCAAAGAAGCAGGTTTAAGATGTTTGATTTACGGCTTTAGCGTTTATAGGAAAGACTTCCTCAAAAAGGACTAAGTTAATGTCGGGCTTTAATTCATTCTACTGAGTTAATCAGTATACTGGAGCTAGTACTTCAAAAAAGTATGTTATCATTGCCATTACTGCTGTAGCTTTGACAAACCAGTTTATGTGCTGTGAAAACCATGAATTTAGTCCTCAAGTTCCTGTGAAAAATTTGGACCTTCTGAAGAGTTGGGAGCAAAAGACGAGGACTCCCTGTAACCTAGAGTCACTAGGTGTCAACCGTGTGTGCATTCCCTTTCTTTTTAATGCGTGCCTTCTGGGTTCTTCAGCTGATACCTGTGCCCAAATGATTCCTAACCAACAACATTTCCATGCTTTAGACATTTTACTATAAAATGCAAAACCTTGTAATGTGCCTTCCGTATCCAGATTTCCTCAGTTGTCTTTAAAACTTAGTTTAAAACTTTAAGAACATAAGATTCATTTAAGAATTACACAGCTAAGCCGGGCATTGGTGGTGCACGCCTTTAATCCCAGCACTCGGGAGGCAGAGGCAGGCGGATCTCTGTGAGTTCGAGACCAGCCTGGTCTACAAAGTGAGTTCCAGGACAGCCTCCAAAGCCACAGAGAAACCCTGTCTCGAAAAACAAAAAAACAAAAAAACAAAACAAAAAAAAAAAAAAGAATTACACAGCTAGGGGGCTGGAGAGATGGCTCAGAGGTTAAGAACACTGACTGTTCTTCCAGAGGTCCTAAATTCAATTCCTGGCAACCACATGGTGGCTCACAACCACCTTGATGAGATCTGGTGTCCTCTGCTGGCATGCAGGCAGAAGACTGTATACACAATAAGTAAATAAAATATTTTAAAAAAAGAATTACACAGCTAGGAGCAAGTTCTAGGACAGCAAGGACCACACAGAAAACTGCCTCCAAAAAAAAAAACAAAAACAAAAAACTTTTTTAAAAAGAGTCACATGGTACATATATTTACCTCTCTAGTCATCTGTATTGCTGCTCCCCTTCTAAGAGGATGAGGAGTTGACAGGTTGTAGCTGTTAGAAAGAGCATTCCTTCTTGTCCTTTGATTAGATTCATTAATAGTTTCCACCAGAATCAACTTGGCAGGTGATTTGTGCCCTCAGCATATCTCATCGAAGAGTTCACATCAGTGTGTCCTGTGGCACTGAGTGGTCATTTGGCAAGATGTGAGGGTCATTTCCCATTGGAGGAACTAATTTGTGGGACGATGTTTTCAGATTGGATATCCTTATTCCAGGAAAACCTTTAACATGTAATTAGTCATTTCAATTAAAATATTTAAAAATTGTATGCTTTAAGTTCAACAAGCCTGGGTATCCAGTCCTCTTTAATATCATACACCTAATTTTATACCTTAAAATAACTGTTTCAGGCTGCAGAAGTGGCTCAGTGAGTACGAGCCCTTGCTATACAAGCATGACTGATGGAGATTGGACTCAGGAACCAACATAGAAACCTGGACGTGGCTGCATATAGGTGCCAATAACCCCACCTGGCACAGATAGGAAGGAGGTTTTCTGGGTCTTCGATAGCTCCCAGTGGGAAGAACACTCAATGTCCTCTTACCTTCTGCACGGGCACAGTCACATACCTGCACACATGCTCACAGTGATTCGTACCGACTCATTTGCTCCAGGCCCCGTGTGGGAAAAGTGTAGTAAGCAGGACGAGGTCCCTATGATCCACCGAGCCTGCTTCCTTGCTTCCCTCCAGAGGTCACTTCGTAATTCATCACTGCTTCTTCAGACCCGAGTTTGATACTTCTAAGGGTGTGCTCATAGGTATTAAGTAGTAATACTTTGCAGAGCAAAATACAGTTACCTGTTTGATACTGTATGAAACAACTTATAATTGCTTTCCAGTTAGCATGCTTTTTGATAGTTTTGCATTCTTACAATTATTGAATAGTTACAATAGCCTGTTGTGCAAACACCCTTATTTATGCCTTATGCATCAGGAGACATTTAGGTCTCAATATTTTGCAAACTACAGTGCTGATTGTTATTTATTATATATTATATTTACACACATATGCCATGTAAGAGGGCTTCTGTACATTATGTAACTAGAAGTGGAAATCCTGCTTGGGAGGGTAATCATGGTCTGGACTCCTTTGTTCATATTCTCGATCCTTCCTCCTCTCTTCAATTGTGCTCCAGGAGCTTGGCCCATTGGTTAGTTGTGGATTTCTGCATCTGCTTCCGTCTGTTTCTGGAAGAGGGTTCTAGCTTCTCTGGGGTTGTGGATTGTAGACCTAAAGCTCTGACTTTCCTCTCACTGAGGGGTACTTCTTACTGGCTTGCTCAGCCTGCCTTCTTACAGAACCCAGAACCACCAGCCCTGAGAAGCTGTCATCCACACTGGGCTGGGCCCTCCTCCATCAATCATTAATTTTAAAAATGCCTTATAGCTGGATTTTTTTTTCTTTCAAGACAGAGTTTCTCTGTGTAGCCATGGCTGACCTGGAACTCACTCTGTAGAGCAGGCTGGCCTCGAACTTGCGGAGATCCACCTCTCTCTGCCTCCTGAGTGCTGGGATTAAAGGCATGTGCCACCACCACCATACATTACAGCTGTATCTTATAGAGGTAATTTCTCAGTTGAGGCCCGTGATGACTCTAGCTTTTATCAAGTGCACATAAAACTAGCCAGTACACTGGGTTATCTTTTTTTATGGGTATGAAGCAATTATATAATAAATTCGGAATGCTTCCCTCAACCATTTTTTCTGCAGACATTTACTTAAAGTTTACTAGGTTATTTTTCTCAGTTTTTACACATTGTAGGATGTCAAGTCTATCAATCTCCTTGGGGTGTGTGATCACAATGTTTTATTTTTTTCTATCCAGATCTTTTGTCAGTTTGGGAGTGGAGTGGAGGAGGAGGAGGGAAAGTGAGAAGTAACGAATGACATGGACGGAGAAAAGCAGACATGGAGAAAAAATTCTTAACGGGCTGGAGAGATGGCTCAGGGAGGGGTTAAGAGCACTTTCCTTCCAGAATCCCCAGGTTGAGTTTTCAGCAACAATATGGTGGCTAGCCACCATGCGTAACTCCAGTTCCGGGGGTGGGGGGTACAGTGCCCTCTCCTGACCTGCGAGGCCTCTCTCTGGGCACACACTTGGTACACCTACATATATGCAGGCTAAGCAATCATAAAATTAATAAATCTCAGAAATATCCATTATACTTTTTCTGTGTCTGTATAGCACACTCCCATTTGGTTTAAGCTAGTATGATCTGTTTTCCTATTTCTGAGCCACGCTCTTGCCATTCAGCTGATCCACCTAGGAGCGTGGTATGTCTAGCATGCTGACTTTGAACTTGCCTCAAGCCTACGGCTTTTGACTCCTCAGTGCCAAGATTATAGGCATGCACCACTAGGCACGGTTCTGATTTGTCTTTCTGTTATTTGAAACCAGAGTTCCAGGTAGGCAGATGAAGTGGAATTCGAAGACCGAGAGCAAAGTGGGAAGGGTGTTTTCTTGTGTTTGGGTCTGCAGGAGGTGGTCAGCAGGCCAAGAGTGGGTGACTGGGAAGAGATCTCCCAATGCTCCGGTCCACATTCGCCTTTGGCGTCTACGTGGTGGTAGCTGGTGCAAGCTCCGCCTTCTCAGGCCTTTAGCGAACCTCACGGAGATTAGGCAGTTGCTGGTGGCTGCCAGCAATCGCTTCATGGATCCGGCTGTGCCAGACTCCTAAGGTCTCTCTTCATTCCCTAGCGTAGGTCTGAGGACTGCGCTCAACTAGGCGGCACAGCACCATCTGTGGGCTTCTGGAGAAACGGGACATTGCCACTTTCCGTCTGGGAGTCCGCTGTGGGGGCGATTAGCGCGGACTTTGCAAAGGCTCACCCGGCCTGGGACCCGCCCCCTCACCCTCACCCTGGTTGAGTAGGCCAGGGAGCCCCAAGTCCGACTGTGGTATCATAATTGACAGCATCACTGGCATCAGGTAGATTCCCGGGCCTCGGCTTGACTCAGAGAGGCCTTGGTTCAAAGAGGACTAGACCCGCACTTCTCCCCCGGTGATGGCCGTCAGGGGGCGCTGCGGCATCGCAAGTCGCTTCCGGGAATGGAGAGGGCGGGGCCGGGCGTAAACCGGAACCTGACGGCGGGTTCCGCCCTCGAGCTGGGGAGGAGTCCGGGAGCAGAGCTGGAGCTGAAGCCGCTTTCACACCCTCCTCGCCCTCCCCGCCGTCATCATGCTCCAATTCCTGGTGAGTGGAGCCTCCGAGGATCGGGCGCCACGTCCTCTCGGGGTCCCGGGTCGGCGGTGCACGGCTCTGAAGTTGGGGCTCGAGCCGGTCGCCGCCCCTTGGGGTATCTCGCGCGGCTCTCCCCGGCCCCCTCCCAAGTCCCTGGGCCCTTTGCCTGGGTTTATATGCAGCCGTTCAAGTTCTGAAAACTTTGAGCTGTCTGGGAGATTGATGCGTTTTCAAAGCTACTCACTCTGAGCTCAAGGCGCAATCCTAGTTGGAAAAGTTTGGTCCGAGAGGTCCTTAATGACTCCTGCCCCCCAACCCGACCCCCACATCCCATACTCGGCCTGGTAATTGGCTTTTTTGAGGCCTTTCACAAGCCTTGCATTGGTCAGCCACCTCACGAGGTCGGAGCGTGAGACTCACGGAACACTCTTCAGACCGTCAGAGTTTGCACGCTTTGAGGAGTGAGTCAGATTGGCCTTCAAGTAGCTCGTAATAGAACAAGTTACCCCAGTTCTCCGTTTTCAATTAACAGGTTTTCTGGCAAAAATCAAGTGTTTCTAAAATGGCCTGTTGAGGATTCCAGGAGAACTTTCCAGTCCAATTTTCAGATGAAAGTTTTCAGACTTTGATGTTTCATCCTCTGCTTCTAATAAAGCAGATACCCCCTTTCTCAGTAGGCACCTGGTGCTCCAGGAAGGAGTTGCTTTTAATCCAGTTAATCCAAACAGGATTGTTGGCATAAACCGCCCCTCAAAGACAAGCCTGCTGCTCTCCTTGACTCGGGGGTTTCTTCAGTGTCCTAACTGCATTAGCTTAAGGAGGTAGGGGTAATTAACAGTTGTTTACTTGTTAGGAGTCACTTTAAAAAACAGCGTCAACCAGCTAGATGATATGACTCTTCGGCCGCATCTGATGCTCCTTGATAACAGGAATTCAGTTTACACAACATTTTACTAGCTTTTGTTGAATGGTGTATTTGGTGTGGGACTAAGCTGCTCTGTACTAATGTGGGTCGTTTTGGGAATTCAAAATTTTCACCATGGGTCTGTCTCCCCTTCATTGCTTTTGTTGGGGGAAAATGGATACAGGTGGACAGAGGCGGCATCAACTTTCATGTATGGTCAGACATGTAACTTCTGCAGATCTTGCTCCTTCTGTTGATTATTTCATCTAGAAAACACTGGCCATCGTGGCCTAGTGTTTGAGAGTTTAGACTCCACTGTAGGGCACTCAGAAGGCAGAGGCAGGCGGATCTGTGTTGAGTTCGAGGCCAGCCTGGTCTACAGAGCGAGTTCTAGGACAGCCAGGGCTACACAGAGAAACTCTGTCTTGGGAAATAACCACCACAACACCCCCCCCCCAAAAAAAGACCTGTTTAGAATTCAGAATCACACTCCGAATTTGTACCCTATCCTTATTATTCTCAAGATGTGGTGGTTGGGCAGATTATTGAACATTTCTGTGCTTCAGTCTGCACTTTGTGAGGTTTCAAAAGGAGCCAGTACGTGAAACACTTAAACACTGGCGCTTATGAAAGACATACCGCCCCTTCTCCCTTGTAAGGTATCAAGTGGGAGCTAGCCTCCCACAGACAGACAGATGATAGATAGGAGAGGGGTGGGTGGGATGGGAGGGTGATCCCAGTCCCCTCAGTCGTTGCTTAGAGGACTAATGTGAAACGTGTGCCTTTGACGTGTTGCTTGTGTTCCTTTCCCTTTGGATTAAGATGGCCACCCCTGGCCCCTCTTCCACACTCCACACCTCGACCCTACCAGGGCCGTAGTTATTTCAAGAACACTGAGATGGGAACTGTGTCTGGTCCTCTCTCCTCTTGAGCCCCCAGCAGCGGTTAAGTCACATCTTCCTTTAGCTTTGGGGGCCTGTGTACTCCACTGCCTAGGTTCTGTCGTGTTAAAACTCAGAGTCGCATAGTGGGGGTGACTGGTCGCCGCTCTCCAAGTGTGGACCATATCTGGGTGTCGCAGAGCTTTCCTGCTTTTACTGGCTGCTTCCCTCTGCTCTTAGTTACTGCGAATGGCTTCAGCCTGGGTCCGGAGCCTCTGTGCTCTCTGAACTTACTCTTAGGGACTGTGTTCGTTCTCAAGCTGTCCCCTTTCACGTCTTCACTGACACCTTCCAACACTTCTTTGAGCCCTTTTCTGTGTGCGTCAGATCCCTCTATTAACGGTCACCATCTCTTCATTCCCTTTCTCTCAGACTCATCTGGATTGATTGCCCCTGCCTACTTTGCCCACACTTAACTCCTACATTTGAAATGTTGACATAATCTTTTAGTCATTTTATTCTTTTTTTTCATGTACTTAAAAGGATTTGTTTATTATGTATACAGGGTTCTGCCTGCATGTATGCTGCAGGCCAGAAGAGGGCACCAGATCTCACTACAGATGGTTGTGAGCCACCCTTGTGGTTTCTGGGAATTGAACTCGGGACCTCTGGAAGAGTAGCCAGTGTTCTTAACCTCTGAGTCATCTCTCCAGTCCCTCATTTTATTCTTGAAAACTGCTTCATCGTTGATATCATAGGCCTGACATGTGTATTCACTTGTTTACATAATTTTTTCTTAAAATCATGTGATACAGTCAGTGGCACATCTTCCATGCAGCAGATTTTTCTATCTGTCTGTCTATATCCATCCATTCTTCTATGTATCTGCCTTCTGCATACGTCTCTACTGTGGGGGCATGCGCATGCGGAGGTCAGAGGATGGCTTTCAGGGACTGGTTCTTCTTCCCCCATATGGGTTCTGGGGATTGAACTCAGGTTGCCAGGCTTGGTGGCAAGGGTGTTTACCTGCTGAGCCATTTTCCAGGCCAGATCCGCCGTGTAGTCTTGACTAGGATCTTTCCCAGCGTGAATCTGGGCAATGATCGCGGTTTTATAAGGTTGTGAGGCTCAAGCGTGCACGAAAGAGACAGCCTGCTGCCTTTCATGCCGGCCTTGCGGTCTCCACGGCTGACCCGCGGAAGCTTGCTCTGCTCGCAGTGCTGCAGGGTGACTTGTCCTGCTCTTCTCGCAGAACAGCTGCACTAGCTGCCAGCTGTGGCTTCCAGCCCGGGAGCTAGAAGGGCTCTCGAGCCTGGCTGGCGTGCTGCTGCCCATCTTCACTACTGAGGACAAACAAGGGGCTGATTTCATTCACAGGCAGCTCTCCGTATTGCTGGGCCCGTCTGCATATTTAACTGTTAGGGAACAGTTGCGTATGTATTGCGTGTGTGTAGGCTTTCCTTGACATTCCTAAACAGTACAATGGGACGGATCGTCTCTGTGGCCTCTCGTTGCAGCCGGCATTGTGAGTGACCTAGCGGGTTAGAGTGTGCTCGGGCGATGTGGGTGGGTTTCTCTGCCGTTGTAACCAGCGTGAACAGCTCTAGATGTTAGTGTATGGCGTGCCCTGGAATGGATACCCTCATTAACTTTAGGTCTCCCTTTTCACTTCCTTACTGCTTTTGGTTATAAGATAGTTTTTGTTTTCACCAGCTTCTTTGAGAGCAGGCAAATCAGTAGACCCTTTCCAGAAGGATTTTCATGTGCCCCTGTTAAGAGTTAGTATTTTTCTTATTTTGTTTTTCTTTCTTCATTTCTACTCTAAGCAGTATTATTGAATATAAAACATAGCTTACCTTTTTTTTTTTTGTCTTCTTCTTTAAGACAGGGTTTCTCTGTGTAGCCCTGGTTGTCTTGGAACTCATTTTGTAGACCAAGTGGCCTTGAACTCACAGAGATCTGCCTGCTTCTGCCTCCTGAGTGCTCAGACTAAAGGCATGCGCCACTGCACCCGGCCATAGCTTCCCTCTTAAAAACTGCTTTTCTAGGAAGCATAGGAGGATTTTGTTTTAAATCACAGAATATAGATATTTTTGCTACTTGAAGCAGCTGTTAAGCATCTTATGATAGTGTTCACAACAAGTTAAAAAAGTAAGACACGGAAATGGTGGTGTGTGTACATGCTTCCTTCTTCTTCCTCCTCCTCCTCCTCCTCCTCCTCCTCCTCCTCTTCTTCTTCTTCTTCCTTCTTCTAATTTTTTTTCGAGATAGGGTTTCTCTGTATTGCTTTGGAAGCTGTCCTGGAACTTACTCTGTAGACCAGGTTGGCCTCGAACTCACAGAGATCCGCCTGCCTCTGCCTCCCGAGTGCTGGGATTAAAGGCGTGATCCACCAACGCCCAACCTGGTTTCTTCTTTTAAGTCTAATATTTAAGAATACTCTTACCAGGGCTGGAGAGATACCTCAGCTGTTAAGAGCACTCTTCCAAAGGATGTGGGTTTGATTTGCTGCACACACAGAGCGGTTCACAACATCTGTAATTCCAATTCTAGGGTATCTGATGTCGTCTTTTGGCCTTTGTGGGCACTGCACGAAAGTGGTGTACATTATAAATGCAGGCAAAATACCCATGCAGATAAAAATAAATAACACTTCAAATGCTGTTATCAACTTAGCTTTTTGTTACTTCTAGTTAGTTAATGTATAGTTTTGTGTTGTAGATGTTCTCACCACAGACCAAATATTTTTAGGCTTCCTTTTCAATGCTAGTGTGTAATTATATGTACTTAGTTTTTTTTAAAGATTTATTTTTATTATTTTGTGTATGTGTTTTGTGCATGCATGCACACACACACACACACACACCCTGGACGGCAGAGGCGTCAGGTTCTCTGGTGAGTTCCAGGTGTTTGTGGGCCTCCTGCTGTGGGTGCTGGGAACTGAACTCTCATCCTCTCCAAGAATGAATAGTACATGCTCCCAGCCACTGAGCCATCTCTCCACCCTTCTCTTTAGATTCTTAAACCCTCATCAGTAACTTGGGCCTGGGTATGTTATTTTTGAAAATATAATTTGACGAGTCATAGTTTGGACTTGTCACCACTTTGGGTCCTCGCCGGGAGCCATCCCCAGATAAATGTAGTTGTGTGTACTGATCTCCAGACACAGCCGCTTTCTGAAGGGAAGGGCTTGAGCAGTGTCCAGCTGCCTCTGTTCTGGAGTCGCCTTGTTCCTACTCACAGCCAGGGTTTTTTAATGTTAATGGACAAAGTATTGTTGACTGATCTGTTCATGTGTTAAGAAAAGTACTTGCACAATATTTTTAGATTTCTTTTGTGCAGGCTGTAACATTTTATTTGACTGCTTTTTTGTTCATCTGGCATTGCATTCTTTTTTTTAAAAAGTCAGTTTGGAAGCCATGAACTTGTCTTTGGTTTCTTCTATTTCACCCCAGGTAACTGAAATTATTTTATCAAATTTTAGTGTTTCTCTCTCTCTCTCTCTCTCTCTCTCTCTCTCTCTCTCTCTCTCTCTCTCTCTCTCTCTCTCTCTCTCTCTTTCTCTTTCTCTCTCTGTCTTTGTCTCTCTCTGGCATTGAGACGAAAATTCGCCCATCTGATGTCTGTAATTCGGTGGTTTTAGTGTACTCAGAGATTGTGTAACCATCACTCTGTCTTGTTTTCTATCAAAAAGAAACTATAATGTTAGGATTCTTTTCTCATCCCCTCTCTAACCCAGACAGCCACTGTTTTATTTCCTCTCGGATACCCTGCTGTTGCTGCAGCCATGGAGATCCTGTAGCTGTGGTTCTGTAGGACCTGCACCTTCATGTGCTCCAGCTGCTCATAGATGGGGTAGCTGTTGGGGTGGGCTTGGGTAGTAGCTGAGCTGGCTAGCCCAGATCTCTGCTGAACCTCCCTCCCCTCAGGAGCTCCCCCACATTCCCGCCATTGTCTACACTGCTGCTGTGGCCAGCTCTCCCATGCAGTGGCCTGTGAAGGCTAGGACTAGCTCTTCATGACCGGTGAAGGCCCAGGCCAGCTCAGCACTATGCTAGGACGTCAACATGGCTTCAGGCAGCAGCCTAGACCACAGACATACAAACGTCCTAGCTGGTAACTCCGGCCTCAGACCCAGTCATGGCCTCTGGCAGCAGCATGGGTGGATATCATCATAAACTCAGGTGACAGCGCCAGCCACTTAGTACTACCCTTGGATATCACCGTGGCCTCAGGCGGCTGCACAGGCCCTCACTCTGTCTGCCCCCCTTCCACAGCTCACGAGCTGCCCCGCTGTTCTCTCCCATCTCTCCCCTGTGCACGCTCTCTTTCCCACTCCACCTCACATGTCCGTTGTAGAGTCGCCTGCCAGCCATTCCGTGCTGCAGGGCGGGACTTAGTATCTTCCGTTCTGTTCTGTTCTGTTTTTTTCAATAAAGCCATCTTAGTGGGTGGTTCTTCATGGTTTTGATTTGCATTTCCCCAACAACTAACTGATGCCAGACATCTTAGGGGCTTGTTGACTGGGTGTCTTCTTTGGAGAAATCCACTCAAAGCTTTTGTTCATTTTTTAAATTGGATTATATGCCTTTGTCATTTAGTTGTGAAAGATCTTTATTCTGGATACGAATACAAACAGATCTATGATTCACAAATAATTCTATTTTGTGGTTTGTCCTTTATCTTTGATGGTATTATTTGAAAGGCAGAGATTTAAAAATTGTTATTTATTTTGCGTGTGTGTACATATGTGTGTGTGTACACATGAATATGTGCAGGTCTGCTTATAATTTAAGCGAAGCAGCCCATGAGAGAAAGATGCCATGTGATAGGGTTCAAGCAGAGGGTTTTTTTTAGGGAAAGGGATCATGAAAGAGGAAAGGGAAGAGGGGAGACCAGCCTCTGAAGACAGGAGCAGCAGGAGAGAGGAGAAAGGAAAGAGGGAGGGGCAGACAGGGAGAGAAAGAGAGAGAGAGGAGGACGGGAGGTAGACATAGTGAATGTGCACAGATGGTGTTCTCAGTGGCTGCAGCTGAGGGCGTATCCTGTCAGAACCCCAAGGACAGGCCAGTACGGATGCCCGAACACTAACACTGCTCGCCTGTGCACGTGGATGTGGAGGCCAGAGGTGAGGTTTAGTTTTTACTTTTCCTGCCTGTTCCTACCTGTTGACACCTCCTGAACACCATGCATGCTTTCCATGACTTCCTGGGTTTCCTCCATCGTTTCTCTGAGTGAGTGACACTTCTCAGATTGTGCTGTGTATCATTTTAAAATGTCTTATTGTTAAATCTGGTAGTATTCTGAAACTGGAACAGGGTGTTGTTTATAGAGGCCCATGGGTTTTGTTTTATGTTTTAAAATAACCGTTCTCTTGTGCTCCAGTGCTTGGTGACGTTGCCAAGACAGAACCACACCAGAGTGTTTATTTTAAGACACATATAGTAAGAACCAGGAATTTTAAGTGTGACATGGAACATTTCAGTGTTAGGCTATTTTAAGAGATCAGGAAGTCAGCTCGGCTCGGCAAAGCTGGGGCGGTTGAGTGGCATACCTGAAGGCGCACAGGTGGCCCAGACAACCAGAGTCCCCGTGCTGTTGATTCTTGACAGGCATTTCCTCCGTCCCGCTTTCCTTCTGTTCGATACTAGGGTTAGTTTCCTCAAGGTCTTTTTTTTTTTCTTTTAAAATTTGTCTCAAATTTAACTATCTTTCTGGATTTCAAGAACTTGTGGTTTGGATCTACTAGAGTGGAAAAAACAGTAATTTTGTTTCTTGGTGCCACTTTGGTAATGGTTTTTTAAAAGCACCAGAAAATGGTCAGTGATTAGAAACCAGATAGCTTTGTTTATGTTTCTTGCTAACAACAATCCAATTTAAAAATTGCTCTGGAATTTAAAGGTTAAATATAGGAAAGACCCAGTATTTCCCCCCCACTTAGGTTTTATTTTTACTGCTTTTAGTGGGGGTGGCAGTTTGTACACCAATGTGTGGGTGCCTGCAGGAAGCAGAATGGGGTGCTGGTTCCCTGGAGCTGGACTCAGGGTGAGCTGACTAACATGGGTGATGGGAACGGAACTCTGGTCCTCTGCAAGAACCCTGTCTGTATCCTTGCCCCTTCTGCATCGAGGTGGAAGATTTGATAGGCACCTCATACGTGATTAGCGAGGCAGTAGGTGATGTTCTTTGATTTCTGTTTTAACTTCTCTATCGAGCCGGAGCAGAGGCAACACTGTTGAAACAGAATAATGGGTGAAAAGGTGGATGCCAATTTGAATGTAGTAAGTTAGGAATTAGTTTGCTGTTACGAGCCCTGTAAGTAAAACGTCACGGGGGTGGGGGGAGAACAAGAATTGTCATCATTAAAATACAAAGCTGAGCACTCTACTGTTGACTGAGTAGGATAAACATGTACAGTTCTTGAGACGTGGTTCTTGTCCCTTCAGTGGTTGAGCGGAAGCCATGTCCCCACAGACCCTGAGGGTCCTCCCTTTAGCTCCCGCCCTTGGCCTTGTGCTGGGCAGGGAGCGTCTGGTTTCCTGTTCCTCTGCCCCTGTGGATCTTAGTTTGGGAGTAACTCAGGTTGTCCTGTGCTGCTTCTGTGAATAACCCTGTGCAAGCCACTATCGTTCCTCTGAAATATGGAGATACGGACCCTGAGAGCCCTTTTGTTTTCTGAACTTCCTTGATTCAAATGAGTTTTGTTGTTGTTCATTTGTTTGTTGTTTTGAGGCCAATCTTTCTTTTTCCTCCTTTTTTTTATTTATCTTTTTACACATGTTACTCTCAGTTTCCTCTCCCTCCCCTCTTCCCCCCACCTCCTCAATCCTCCCAACCTCCCACCCTACTCCATCCCCCCTTCACTCCCCAGGGAGGGTAAGAGCTTCCATGAGGGATTTTCAGAGTCTGTTATATCATCCTGGGCAGGGCCTAGGTCCTCCCCACTGTGTCCAGGCTGAGTGAGCATCCCTCCATGTGGAATGGGCTCCCAGAGTCTATTTGTATGCCAGGAATAAATACTGCTCTACTCTCCAAGGTCCCATAGATTGCTGAGGCCTCTTCTCTGACACCCAGGTTTAGGTAGGGGTGGGGGTGTCTGGATCAGTCCCATGCTGGCCTCTCAGTCATCAGTCTGGGGTCCATGCGTTCCCCCTTGTTCAGGTCAGCTGCCTCTGTGGGTTCCACCAGCCTGGTCTTGATTCCTTTGCTCGTCACTCCTCTTTGCAGCTGGGTTCCAGGAGTTTGGTTTTTAGCTGTGGGTGTCTGCCTCTGCTTCCATCAGCCACTAGATGAGGGTTCTAGGATGGCATATAAGGTAGTCATCAATCTCATTATGTCATTCTTGTAGATCTGTGAAGATCTCGCTAGTGCCAGATCTCTCCTCCAACTTATAATGGCTCCCTCTATTATGGTATCTCTCATCCTTCCCTCCTCTATTCTTACCCTGGCTCAACCTTGCTGCCCCCCCATGTCCTCCCCTCTTCTCCTCTCTTCCCCTCCCCCCCATCCAATTAGGAGATCTCGTCCCATAACCCTTCTCCGGGTTACCATGCATATCTCTCTTAGGGTCCTCCCTGCTTACCAGACTCTGGTGGTGGGATTGTAGGCTGGCAATGCCCTGCTCCATGTCTAAAATCCATATATGAGTGAGTACATAACATGTTTGTCTTTTTGTGACTGCGTTACGTCACTCGGGATGGTTTCTTCTAGTGCCATCCATTTGTGAGGCCAAGTCTTGCTGTGTAGGTGTGGGATGGAACTCTTGCTCCTGAAGACTCTCACTGGCCTCTTACTGTGGAGGATCATCCTCCTGCCTCTGTCTCCTGAAGGCCACCACACTCCCAGCACCAATAGATGTTTTTAACTGAATGCTTTTTATCAGCTGTGGACAGGAGTAACAGCACCTATAACAAAAGAAACCAAAAGGGGGACCAAGTAGCATTCAGTAACAAAATTGGATCCTTGCCTGGGTTTCTAGACCTCCATTAAGGATTTTATGGGGGCTTCATAGCCACTGTTTATTTCTGATGTTGGCGCATGACATACACATGTGTGTGCAATTGTTTCATAGAAGATGTGACTCCTATGTTGCATGCAATCTGACACCGAGCACCTGAGCAGTCACCTGCCATGCATCTTGAGAAGATGTAGCACATGTGTTCGGCTTGTGCAGGCTCATGATGAATTTTGTCTGCAGTATAACTCTCCTGTTCTGTTGTTTCAGCTCGGATTTACTTTGGGCAACGTGGTTGGAATGTATCTGGCTCAGAACTATGACGTAAGTGGCCATATTCACGTCTTTGTTGGCTCCCTGTCACTGTTTCATAGCTATTTTTCTCTCTCAAGGTGAAGTTTGCCTACTAGCATAAATAAGGTCCATAAGTATGAGTTCTTAGTTTTATGGGAAGTTTTTCTGTTGCTTGGAAAAATAATTGAAGTCTCAGAAGCATGTATGTCCCCACATCATCACAAGAGAATTGTAGATGTGGGTTCAAAGTGTGGCTCCTGTAAGGAAGACAGTTTGGGGGAGGGGGATTTGCATCAGCCTTACTCTAGGGATGAGGCGTGGAAAACTGCGTGTCACAACAAGATGGGGATCCTAAAAGGTGTTTGAGAAAGACAAGGGATTGTATTTTCTTCTGTATTAAAGGTTTTAGTGTGAGAAAAGGATTCCCATCGCTAGAATTTAGTTTTCTAGTCAGGGACTTTATTGCTTTATCATTTGTTGCATTTAGATATATATCTTTTAGTTGACACTGGGTTGAAGGGCTGGGTGTGTGTCTGAAGGGACAGCTGGGCCTAGCTTTCAGGGAGGGAACATAAACTTAACACTGGCTTTGTATGCAGGTAGAAATGCCTCTATTGAGCGGGTCTCCTCCAGAGGAAGTCAAAACCTTGCAGAGCCATTATTAAAAGAAGAGGCGTGAAGGAATATTGGTCAGGTAGATGCTAAATTATAATGCTCCCGTTTTTCTTTCATTTAAAGATGCCAAACCTGGCTAAAAAACTTGAAGATATTAAAAAGGACCTGGAAGCCAAGAAGAAGCCCCCTAGCTCCTGATGCCTGCCCGGCACTGCTCTCCGGACCCTCCAGTTCCATCCTGAGGGGCCGCCTCCTTCATAGTCGCAACCCAAAGCTGTGTTCCTCTTCAGTCTCACACCCTGCCTGCTGCCTCATAGCCAACATGGGGCCAGAAGTCAAGGTTACCTTACGTTTCAAGCAGCGCCCCTTCCTCCTGTAACATCCGTCCAGCTGCTTATGTATGAGTCCCGAGACTGGAACTCCGGTGCTAGGTTAGCAAATACATCCCTTATCAGTGCTCACTCACCTGTCCCCCGGGAGTCCTACCTCCTGTTGTCAAGAGAAAACAGGGAATGGATTTGGAGAGCTGATCGCACTGTCTAGCAGTTATAATAGGAGCTTGTTAGACGTTTGTTAACTCAATTTTTGTTGCCAGAGTAATTAAAGTTAGTGCTTTCAAGCGGTGTCCGGTGAATTATCCATTTATTTTGTTATCAGGGAACTCCATCATTGATAATTTAACCAATAAATCATTTGCTGGATTAACTGAATTCTGTAAGAACTGGGAAATTTTAGAACATGCAAAATAGTTGTTGTCTGAGTAGAGTTCCGTCTATTTAACCCGAGTGTCTTATTTTTAATGATGTATTTGCTCTGACTCTGTCAGCACAAGAACCGTCCTTTATGCTTGCACGCAACATTATATGACAGGCGGGTGAGTGAGAAGCTGCTGATAAGAGAATGTTGAATTTTTAACATTGAAGTATGTACTACTTGTATAACTTTACAGTGATCCCCCTCAGAGAAATGTCCGACTGTGTGATCAGACGAGACGGTGGGGAAAATGCCGCTTTTCTCCACAGTTGAAGCTTTTTTCCCTGAATCGGGATGGATCATCATGCATCACGCCATCATCAATCATCATTTTCTCTTAAAGACAGTTTCCCTGTGTTACCCAGGCTGGTTTTGAACTCCTGGGCTCAAGCAGTCTTCCTGCCTTAGCCTCCAGGTGCTAGTGTCTGACCTGGTCCATAATTTTTTTAAAGTAAGAAATATTTTAAAATGTAGCTGTTCCCACAGGAGATGAAGGAAAGTGGTTTCACACAAAGGTTCTTTCTAGCTTCTGTCTTGTCCCCTGGTACAGTTAGTTCCTCAGGCAATCCCGGGTCAGTTTCCTGTGTGCCTCTGAGAGAGTGTTTAAACACACATGTGCTTTTGTTTGTTTTTAAACACAGTACTCTTTGCTTTTGTCCCTTCCTTCCCTTCTATTTTGTTGACGCAGAGTGTCATTATAGTCAAGGATGACTTTGAACTTTTGATCCTCCTGCCCCTGCCTTCCATGTGCAAGGATTAAAGGCATGCGCCACCACTGCCTGGCCATTTATTTGTTTCTCTGAGACAGGGTCTCACTATGTAGCTCTGGCTGTCCTAGAACTCACTCTGTAGACCAGGCTGGTCTCAAACTCACAGAGATCCGCCTGCCTCTGCCTCCCGAGTGCTGGGACTAAAGGCCTGCTCTCTCGTGCCCAGCTTGCTCTTTTATTCTTAACGGAATGTATTCCATGACAGTGTGTTAAGAACAAGGAACCCTACCGCTCTGTGTGCAATGTAAGATCCTATCGAATGGATATTTAATGATTGAATGCACTGCCAGTGAATGCTTAGGTTGTTCTTTGGCTGGTGTGGTGACAGCAGCAAACCTGCTGTCCATATCTGCCCAGAGTTCAGCTATAAGATAAGGCCCTAAAAGCCCAGCTTGCATAAAGACAGAGCGTCTTGTTTCAGAGGGCTCGTTGGGCAGCTTCCTTGACAATGCTTCTCTGAAGATATTTTAGTGGACAACAGTAGCAAGGATTACTTAGTGACACCTGTTTTCAGAAAGTGAGGACACTGGCCCCATGTGGGAGTCAGAACATGGCCCTCACACACACTTGGGGACGCATGTTATCCCTGTAGAAGTCATCCTTTGGTGGGAGACAAGGGAAGACCAAATTATGGCTTGGCTTCTCCCTAATGCTGGGCAGTGTGCAAGTGGTGTGCTCTTCTGAAATGTAACACCTACCTCATGAGGGCTCCATGGGAAACAGTTGGGATGATGTATGTGCTCTGTTACACTGTGCTTTGCAAACTGTTCAATAAATAGCAAGTACTAGTTGAAACATGCTGCTTTGGGCCACAGTACTGTCGTGTTTCTGCAATCACTTTCAAACCAGTTGATGAGTCACGTAGAGTGCGGTGTATTCTGTGGTGAGTCTTTTATATTTCAATGAAAATATACAGTATGTGGTATCCACTGTTCTTGTACCACCAAGTTCACAAGATTTGATTGTAAATGACTAGGTCCTTAGCAGAAAAACTATAGCCCCAAAGAAGGAAGGGTTGTCACCTTGGAGGATATTCAGAATGCTGGGTAAAGGCTTCTTTAGCAAGCAGTTGGCAAAGAACCATCGTGACAACATTGTTGTATGGGTAGCTTTGGAGACAATGGGCTTTTAGATATTAGGAGATTAGGTGTTTGTATAAAGACTTATGTTAGTTTTTAAAAAGATTTATTTATTTTATGTATATAAATGATCTATCTGCATGTATGACTTTATGCCAGAAGAGGGCATCAGATCTCACTGTAGATGGTTGTGAGCCACCCTGTGGGTGCTGGGAATTGAACTCAGGACCTCTGGTAGAGCAGCCAGTGCCCTTAACCTCTGAGCCGTCTCTCCAGCCCCTTTTCATATTATTTTTAGCTATGTATATGTCTGCATAAGGGTGTGTTCATGTGAGTGCAGGTTCCCTGAGGAGACAAGAGGGTCGGATCCCATTCAGCTAGACTTACAGACGGTTGCGAGCCACCTGATGGGATGCTAGGAATGAACTCCGCTCCTTTGAAGGAGCAGTGAGTACTCTTAACCACTGAGCCATCTCTGCAGTCCCATAGTCTTCTTACATTATCTTATGTAGTCAAACTCTGGGGGACGGAGGGGTTCCTCAGGAGTGACCCTTACCTGTACCGATAGGATTGTTTCTATAAGGAGAACTGCCTTAATTTCGGCTCCACCACAGAAATCAGCATAGGCTAGTTGCACGTTTGCTGTTCAGGTACAGTCTCCTGCTTTTTTACTGCTTATTTTCTGGGGATCTGACCCATGACCTTGCACATGCTGGGCAAGTACTCACTCTGCTGTGCAGTTTTATCCCCAGCCCTGGCTTTCTGCCCTGTAGCAGTGAAAGGTAGCTCAGCTCTTGGGTAAGCATCTGCCAATGGCATAGGTGCTGGAAGCATCTGGAACTATTGAGTTGTGGGGGGCAGGCACTGGAAATTGGTGATGTGAGTGGGGTTGTGATTGTGGAGGCCCTGTCTTTCTCCATTTAAAAAAATACCCGAGAATTCTGTGGATATATTTTAAGAGAATTGCCTTGGGTGGCCGTAAGAGAGATACTCAAAATACTACCATAGCTCCTCTGACATGTGAAATTGAAGACTTCAGGATTATTGGAATTATTTTATGCATGTATGTATTTTGTTTCTTGAGGCAAGGTTTCTCTGTGTAGCCCTGGCTGCCCTGGACCAGGCTGACCTCAAACTCAGAGATCCGTCTATCTCTGTCTCTGCCTCCTGAGTACTGGGATTAAAGGTTTGTGCCAAGCTGGATGGTGGTGGCTAAGCCGGACGATGGGGTGTGTCTCTAATGCCAGCACTTGGGAAGCAGAGGCAGGCGGATCTCTGTGAGTTCGAGGCCAGCCTACAAAGTGAGTTCCAGTATAGCCAGGACTATACACAGAGAAAAAAAAAAAAAAGTGTGTGCCATCACGTCCTGGCATGATTGTTGGAAATTAAATAACCTAGAGGAAAAAAAAAAGCCAGCTAGTATTTAATATTCTCAAAGGGCAACCTTTTGTGAGCCATCACAGTGGCATCTTCTGAGTTGGTGATTTATAGGTAGATACTTGTAGTGTAAAGGAGAAAGCTTGTTTCTTTTTCTCTAACTTACTGTGGTTTTCCTCGCCGTCTGTCCTACTCGCCCTGGTGCACACGTCCACATGCGTAATGTTTTCATTTCCACTGGGCAGTTCACTCCCTAGATACTGTGCTAGTGTTTGTTTTTCTGTTGACTTCTCCCACATTTTAAACATTACTCTAAAGGTTCTCCTTGTGAAAGAACACGATAGTGTACTGTAGTAAATGAGGCCTTTCTTAAGCTCCCAGCCTTGAGTTTGCTCCCGATGCCTGCCAATGAGTTCTTTTCCCTGCTCTTAGGACCTTGCCTTATGGAAGGGGACAGGACATGAGTGGAGCGAAACTATTTTAAGACCTTGCTTCTTCTTTACGGGGAGTTTGTGGTACTTAGGACTTCAGGGGTTCGGTCTATAATTTTCCTGAGTCTGGTAGCGATATACTCAGCCAAGTAATGGATGGCAGTTTTATAAGGCACAGTGTGAGCAAAAGAGAACACAGGGATTTTTGTGGAAAGAGCGCAGGGTGGAGCCTTGCCTGAATCGTTGCCGCAGTGGCCAGACAGTGGGAAGGGTGTGGTGCGTCACCTCACGCGTGCAGATGCACAGGGCTAGCACAGAAAGTGCAGTGTAAAATAGTGTTCGCTTAGACACTTCAGCCTCTTTACTTGGGTTGCCCAAGCATCTTGAAGTACCGACAGTGGTTCTAGTGTTGAGAGATTCTAACAGTGGAGTGTCTGCATGTGAGACTAACTGTGCTGTCTTTGGTATTCACAGGGGATCGGTTCCAGGCCCCCTGTAGATAGCAAGATCCGAGATGCTCAAGTCCCCTGTAAACAGTGGTGTGCATCTGCATATAGCTGACACATACCCTCCATGGGAGGAGAGGGAGCAGTTTTTAGAAACCGTGATAATGGATGTGAGTCTCCGTGCTGTGTGAATAATAAGTGTGAGGGGTCATACTCGTGCTCACTGTTGCTGTGTTCTCGTAACACTCTGACCAACAGCAGCCTGTGAAGCAAAGAGTTCATTTTGCTTACAGGCTACAGTCCATCATCAACAAGACCCAGGAGCTCAAGGTAGGACCCTAAAGGCAGAAACGGAAGCAGAGGCCAAGGAGCAGTGCTGCCTACTGACTTGCTTCCCCTGGCTTGCTCAGCTGCCTTACACAGCGCAGGTACGTACCTGCCCAGGAATGGCACAGCTTCCAGCGGCTAGGTCCTCTTATGCCAGTTAGCAGTTAAGGAAATACTCCATAGACACGCCCACTGACCAATCTGATGGGGGCAGCTCTTCAGCTGAGGTTGCCTCTTTGCAGATGTGTCAAGTTGGCAACCAAAGGTAGCTATGACACAGATGACTTAACAGGGATTTCAAAGGCAGTGTTGAGCAAATTTGGTACGCAGCTTACAAGAATAAGATGCAGCCATACTTAATGTCCTCAGCTCCATTTCGTCATCTGGAAGATGAGCTAGTGGAAGATGATTGTATTTTCACAAATATCGTGTGATAGCAGAAAATAAAAACCAAGCCCTGCCACGACGGTCTGGAGTGAAATGCTTTTAGACAACAGCGAGCGGTAAATCACTCCTGCCACTCCATTGTCAAGGTAGGCAGTCATGCTTGGCCTGAGTCTGGGTTAGGGAAGGGGGTGCTGTTCTGCGCACAGCCCCGTCAAGACTGTGACGGTTGAAGGCGTCCGCTAATGGAGAGCCTGCGGCAGCGGCTGTGCGAGCTTTCCTTTGTCCTTTTAGCCCTGTTCTCCTGAGTCATATTACCTGTGCTTTTCTTGTCTAACCCAGGAGTTCTCTAATGGTTCTGAACGTCAAAACGTTTTAAAGCAAATTGCATTGGGATGCCATTAATTTGATGCCAGCTACCCTATTGGCATTGTGTATGGGCTTGTGAAGTCTTCGCTGCTGTGATTGGCTGTGCTCATTAGTAAGGTAGAAGTAAGTGGTCACAGTCCCGGTTAAACCTGCTTGGTTACGTTCTGTGGAGCCTAGAAGCATTGACTGGCACACCAGGAGCTTCACAACTCAGACTCGTGGTAAGCTAAAGGTGTGTTTTAACAGATAAATTGTCACAAGAAACTGTATGCCATCGGTAGTAAAGTTAAATCGGTTACAAAGTGTAGTTACTGCAGGAGACTCCTTTTCTAAGATACTTAACAAGCAATGATAGTGAAATCAGAAGCATGAATGTCAGCAAACAGAAGGGATGGAGATCTCTATGTAGCTGCCCAGCAAGGGCATCTGATGGGTAAAATGACGCTGTCCTCCAGCAGAAGGAGTAGGCCTTGCTTTGAAGTGATTTTTTTCCCATCAGAAACATTTATTAAGCAGTTAGAGTTTAATACATTGTAAAGAACCCAAGACACATCTTCCCCTTGTAGGGCTCAGGGATGCATGGGACTGGCAGGGACTTTGGGACTACTTAGGACTTGGTGTTCTCAGAAACAAGCTGGTCATTACATGGAGAAGCAAGTGTATATCAATAATACTGTGGTCTTAACTGGAGTTCTGGTCTCCCTAATGTGAACTTTCTTCTCCCTCACCATACTCACAAGGCAACGGCGTTTCAGTTAATGATAGTGCATAGAGATGCGGATCCCACAATGCTTTTTTTTTTTTAACCACCTATTTCCTTTGATGGAATAAGGCCAGCCTCTTTCTAAAGGGGATATTATTTCTTTGCAGCAATTTGGTGCCCAGGTAAAGGGGAACCACTAGAAAGAGACTTAAGGCAAATAAAACTGACCAAAGTACAGATTGCCACAAAGAGGCTCTCCCAGGAGTTGCCATTTTCTAGTCACAGACATGCTTGAGAACACTAAGCCTTGCCCCCCAGAAGAGAGGCCACAGGTCTCCTGGTCTGTGTAGGCAGAGTTTCTGCTCTCTCCGCTTCCTAGGAAAGCATGACAGGCAGCATGAAGCCAGGTGAGGCCAGTCGGTTAGTGAGGCTCCCCTCAGGGATCTAAGGCTTGCAGCGGTTCTGGTCTTCAGGAAGTGTTAAGGCTGGACACAGGGAGAGAGCAGATGTCGGCTTTCTTGAGAGTAGTGCTAAGGGAAGCAGGCAGGCTGGGAAGGAAACACGCCCAGCACGTCTGGTGGCAGGGATGTCCCCCGTGTGGGCCTGGGCTGTGTGCTCCTGGTGTTTCTGTTTGCCTGTGACTCTGCTAACGCCTGTCCACTTGCGTTAGGTCTGATCGGTGATGTTGCTGACCTTAGCCCAGGCTGGGAACGTGTCCAAGTGGAAGAGGCTAACTCCCCAGGTATTGATGGCCACCATCACTATCACCAGGCCAATGACATTGACTCCTAGGCCAGCTTTCACCTGTGGGACAAAAGCCAGAAAGCCCCAGTGATTCTGAGTCAACAGTAGCCCGATTGCCCCACAGTGAGCCCTCCCCAGGCCCCGCCTTAGCCTTGCCCCCAAGTTCCCAGGAGCTTTCTGGATGGTTCTAGCTCTATTCTCCCTCTTCAAGTTCTGTGGAAGGACTGGAAAGGCGGGGAAGGGAGGGGGAGCGGGGATGGCACAGAGTGATAAGAATCAGCTTCTTGCCTGTAGCACTCTCATCATGAAGTAGAAGCCTAGGAGGTCTGTGAGCTACCTGGGAAACCAGATCTGAGGACTGTTGTGATTTGTGTGACAAAATGATGGGGAACTATATTAAACATAAGGAGATCTCTGCTGCTGTGTGTGGCCACTGAGGAAAAGTTTCTCCTCAGCAAGGGTAATGGGACTGGCTTCAGACAGTTGGGCTTCACTGTATTAGTTTGTTTACTATCTCCTCGCCTGTGGTCGGCTTTGAGGATTAAGATCAGCCGTGATTACGGGCCGGGAGTGGAATGTGAGCATGCCCAGTGCTATGCAGCGCCATGTCTTGGAGACAGCTGGAAGCCAGAGTCTGGAGTGGAGGCGGTCTACTTGGTATCACTGCTTCGGGGCTTCCTTGCTTGGGTCAGAACTGAACAGAAGGATGCTGTTCTCACAGGACACCTTTCACCCGGGTTCATACAGTTTCTCGTACTCCACTGTCCATGAATGAATCAGCACTTGTCCAGGGAAGGTTTGTGCAAGCTCATGCCTTCTGGAACGAGGCCATAGCCTGTGCCCTGGTAGCTTTCTCTCTCCCCATGCCTGCTTTTTTCCACGTGACAGTTAGGGAAAGCCCATTGCTATTCCTGGAGCTTACAGGCCAACCAAGAGCCTTTTTACAGGAATCATTATTTCCACACACCAGCGAGAGCGCTGGGAGCCTGCTATGAAATGGGAGCTGCTCCAGGAGAAGCCCACACAGTGAACCATCGCAACCCTCACGGGACAGGCCTGGCAGAGGGCACCCACAGCTCACCATATCTTTGATCTGGCAGTGTCCATAGCTGAAGACGATGGCGTTGGGGGGGTTGCCCACCGGCAACATCACAGCGAAGGAGATTGACATGGTGACGGGGACCAGTGTGTATAGTGGATTGATGTGCAATGTCTCAGACTGGAAGAGAAAAGTCACAGTGACATTAACCCTGAGAATATGTTGGCATGGAATGTGCTTTAGTGCTGGCCTGGTGTCGGATGCCATGTTTTGGGGCTTGTTAGTTCCCTGCCCTCTGGGTATGCAGATACTTCTGCCCACAGGGCTGAGACTCAGAGGCAACTCCAAGGATGCATGTCTGAGTTTTGGTGGGAGGGGACATCTTAATGAAGTGTTTCTTGAAGTTCACTCTTTACTAAGAAATGCCTTCTTTAAGAAGAATCTCGCGGGGCGTTGGTGGCGCACGCCTTTAATCCCAGCACTCGGGAGGCAGAGGCAGGCGGATCTCTGTGAGTTCGAGGCCAGCCTGGTCTACAAAGCTAGTTCCAGGACAGCCTCCAAAACAATACAGAGAAACCCCGTCTCGAAAAAACCAAAAAAAAAAAAAAAAAAAAAGAAGAATCTCATGAATAAGTGTCTTTAATTGGGGCAAGAATCCCTCACCCTTGGGGTATAGATCTGAGGGACTTTCCAACCCTGGAAGATAGTTTAGTTGCTCTCTTTGGGATCTAAACCCATGGCCTTGCCTTCAGTATAGGAAAATGGTCTTGAAAGGCATTGTGGCATATGTATTTAGTTCCAGCACTCCTCCCTGTGCTGGAAGGCAGAGGCAAACACAGACATCTGAGCAGAGAGCAGAGAGCAGAGTAGCCTTGAGAGTTGGCATTGCACGGAGCGGGAAGGACTTTGTAGGAGATCAGCAGGGGTCTTCATGCCCTGCATTTCCTGGTGCAACATTCAATCAAGTGTATTACTTTGGGGACTTCAGCACTTGCTCCAGTCATTACAAACTGGCCTGAGGTCATGGAGTTAGGCTGACATTGGAGGTGGTGCCTGTTCAAGCTAGGGTCTTGTATATTTGTTTTCCTGAGATGGCTTCATTATGCAGTCCATGCTACTCTCAAATAAATTAATTCTGCTTTTTTTGAAAAGTGTTTCTAAACTATTGATATATTAATGTATAATTTTAATGTACTAATTGCCACTTGAAAAAATTCACTGCTTACACTACAGATTGAACACCAACACTGTAAGTGGAGAGTAGTGAGAGAGGAAGAGCTTTGAAAACTGCTTCCGGGTCAGGCTGGACACTGAGGCCCTGGGGCGCATGTCTCATCTACTCACCAGGGTACACAGGATGGGCAGGAAGATGGTGATGGTGGCTGGGTTGCTGACAAACTCCGTGACAATGGACACCAGGACGCACGCCAGCAGAGTGATAGCCCATGGTGGGAGGCTGCTCAGGGACAGCATCTGGTGTCCAATCCACGTGGAGAGGCCAGAGCTCTGCGGGAGGAGTACCGTGAGAGGAAAGGAGTGGCAGCATGTTCCAGAGGGAGTGTTCCAGAGGGAGCGTGTAGGCCGAGGGGTCGGTACTGCCCCCTGGGAGGGCTACCAGGCCTCAGCCCATCTGTCTGGCCTCACCAGAGCCCACGCTGAGTTTATGAGGAGATGAATTTTATAGCTCAGACATGTCTCAAGGTTGTACAACATTCTGTCTTTGGGGTTCCTGGTCATGGGGCATTAGAGCCACCCACCTTGGCCACAAGATCCTCTCTAGGCAGGATTGGGAGTCTCTACCCGCAGCTTTGCACGCCAAGGTCACCCTCAACGTTTTCTGTCCTTAGCCTCACTCTGTGCAGGTCCCTTGCAATGGTGAGGGCTACCCCTCCTCTCCTAAAAGACGCTCGATCGCATTGGGGTTCTGTACCGAGACATCCCAGATCCTCAGGTGCATTTTCTTTTTTCTCTTTTCTGTGGCTGACATGCTCAGGCTCTTCTTAGAGTAGCCCAGTGACTCCAAAGGTGATACGGAAATGGAGAGTAGGGTTTCAGTTCCCAACACCCCATGGTGGCTCACAACTGACCCTAACTCCAGTTCTTGGGGATCTACTGTCTACTGAACGCTGGCATACATACAGTATGCACATGTGTGCGTGCGTGTGCGTGCGTGCACACACACACACACGCAGGCAAAACACTCATACATTAAATCAATTTTAAGATTGCAAATATACCGAGTTTGGGGCAGGTTAGTGTATGTAGCCATGAGATAGGGAGAGGCAGCCTGAACCTTAATCCAATTCACTCACAGGGTTCTTTTCTTCATAGAGGGCTAGTGGTGGAGGGAGAGCTTCAATTATTTCCCACCAGCCTCACTAGAAAGATCCCAAGATGAGTGTTCCCAACCAGGAAGCCAATCAGACTTCCATCAGCTTCAGCTAAGATTCTCTGAGAGGCCCAGTCTAGGCGTGTAGACGGACAGAGGGACAATCTGCTGAATTGTCACGTGGGGTCTCTATGAGCCTTTGCAACCCACCTCATGTCAGTGGTACGAGACCCCAGAAAGGACATGTCTATAAAATACCCAATTCCTCTTGCTTGTGACAGTACGGGGCCTGCAAAGACAATATCTGTGCTGACTTGTGGCACCAACTAAGATGGCCAGGAAGGAGACAGCGACTGTCCTGTTGTGTTACCATCCTTCCTACTGACTCGGTGACCATCATGCTCTCCCTTGGCAACTTCTAGTCTCTCCTTCAGGGTTGTAATGGACTCCTTAGGAAGCTTCTGGACCAATATTTGATGGAGCGGAGAACTGAGTCGTTACCTTGCTGCCAGAAGCCAGGGCATAGCCTCCTCCAACCAGGATGACGATCTCCCAGGGCATAGTTTTCTGGAAGTCCTTCCATGTGATGATGGGCTCTATCCCCTGGGTGGGCTCCTGGCTTGCCCCTGGATCGCAGACAGGAAGAGATGGAGGCAGGCAAGAGCCCAGAGGGATGGCTTGTGAAGGGCCTACCTAATGCATACATGGCAGGGGTTGGGAGCCAGCTAGCTGGGTTGGACTCTGAAGGGCCTTGGAAAGTCTCTTGGAAATTCTGATATTCTCTGATTAAAGCCACCCCCAGCGTTGTCCCTTAAGGTCTTCTCTCACCATCACTCTTCTTCCCAAAGCAGGGCTTCTTTGCTGGAATGAGGAAAAGCAGGAAGCCAAGGAATACAGAGACGGTGGCATCAGTGCGGTAGCCTTTCCTAGCAAAGAGAGACACGTGGCAGCAGGAGGAGAGAAAGGAATCCTTGAGAGCAACACAAGTCTCAGGACAGGTTGTGGGAGCACAGCACCTCTTCATGGGACCTAACCCGGCAGCGACAAAAACAAGACTTTTGCCAGTTTTTGTGCTCGGCTATGGTGGACTCATAGGCAGGGTTAATGCCTTGGAGACAGACTCTGTGAGGGAGGGAGGTGTTCTTAGTGTCAAGTGACAGTCCTTGAGTTTAGGCATGATCAGAGGTGTTTAGATAACAGCAGACAAAGCACGGGCCTCTCTGCTGTGAGGACCACGGCTCAATGTTGGCGCTGGGAGAGCTTGTAAATCCACAGCGGTGGCCTGGAAACCTGTGTGCACCTCGCCTGGTGGCTTCGTCCTCCACGGGACTCTGAGGCCACAGTCTCATTAAGCTAGTCCTTTATAGATGTTTCCCCCTTAGCACCCTTGGCATCCTAGGAGATAGGGGAGGCACCAAGCACTTCTGTGAGATGACTAAGGTCACACAGCTGGTAAGTGGCGGCCCCTGGTTCCGACCCCCAGACAGGGACTCCCAGCACTGTTTCTTCCTGGCTCTGTACTGCCACTTCCTTAGAAAGAATGGTTTCCTCAAGGGCTAAAAACGCTTCTTGGGTTTGTGTAGCATATGGTTACAGCTTGAGGAATGAGTGGGGCTGGGGTTCGGGAAGAGACAGCGTCACTTACTTTTCAAAGAAAGAATCCCAGCCAGGGACGAAGCCAGGCTCGCGGGTAAACCACAGCACTGTCATCAGGATGAAGAAAAATGCAGTCACCATTTCAGGGTAGCTGTCAAAGAAAGCAGGAAGACCCCTCCTCAGGCGCTGGGAACTTAGAGCTTTTCCCCATGGCTCCTGGACGCTCCTATTCAGACCCCCAGCACCGATGGCGTAGAACGCAGCTGCTGCTTGAGCTACTTGAGTGCTAGCATGGCTGGCAGTGACTTAGAACGAGAGCTGACAAGGATGCTAGAGATGACAGAAACCACGTTTCCCGGAGAAAGGTAGGTGGGAGGGAGAGAGCACAGCATGAATACAACAGCCTAATCTTCTCTCAGGAGAGCACCAAATAGTGAGCACCGTTAGGTCCTGCTGGTGGCAGCACCAACTGCTACCAACCCGTGTTTTAGGGCAGTTTACCGTATGCCTTAGGAGCTTTAGTTTTGGATATTCCCTTTACCTGAGACAATAACTGGCAATGGACAGTGAGTTATTAACTATGGCAAAGGGAAGCAACAGCGTTGTTTTTCCAATTAGATTCAGTGACAGTGAATACATTTTGATATTATTGTTCAAATGAGATCCAACTATTAACAGTCATGCTGTCATGACAGAATGAATGACACAGGGACATAAATCAGAGCAGAAAAATGAAAGTAGACGGCATATACAGCAATGTTCCAAGTGAAAACAGACAGCATATACAACTATGTTCCAAGTGAAAACAGACAGCATATACAGCATTGTTCCAAGTGAAAACAGACAGCATATACAACTATGTTCCAAGTGAAAACAGACAGCATATACAGCATTGTTCCAAGTGAAAACAGACAGCATATACAACTATGTTCAGTATGAGTCTTATAAAATATATACATTAGATATGTATATGGATATACATATATTTATAATATGCAAATCCTGTAGTACTGAGGCTTGAATCCAGGGCTTTTTGCATGCTCAGTAAGTACTCTATCATTGAGTTAACCTTCCCAACTCCCTCTGACTTTAATTTGAAATAGTCTAAGTTGTTCAGTCTAGTCTTGAACTTACCTTCCTGCCTCAACCTTTGGAGTTAATTGGGACTATAAACCCAGCTTAATCACACACACACACACACACACACACACACACACACACACACACACACACACTGGAAAGGAATATATTATGCTAACAATTAACACTAGGATACAAGCCCATTTTATTTATTTATTTTCAGGACAGGGTTTCTCTGTGTAACAGCTCTTGCTGTCCTGGAACTCACTCTGTAGACCAGGCTGGCCTCTAACTGACAGAGATTTGCCTGCCTCTGCCTCCCAAGTACTGGGATTAAAAGCGTCCCTATATTTCATAAATGGCAAACCATGAATATTTATTCCTTTTATAAATTAAAGCTTTAAAATAGAATTTAAATCTGATTTTTTTACTCTAAGTTCTGTATGGGGAACACTCTTAAGAGAGGAGATACAGCATTAGTCAGATGGCTGAACCAGGGAGCTGTGGGAATGCTCACAGCGGTGTTAGTGATGTTGGAGTTGGTAGTGATGTCCTGGCCCTCCCATCTTCAAGTCTGTGGCTTGTGCTCTAAAGATAGCACTGAGGTCCCCAGCTGGGGTGACAGCTGATTACTGTGGTGGCCCATTTGATAAATGTAAAGATCCCTGGCTTTTCAAGGAGTCGAGCATGATCTGTGAGTGTCTGTGCTTTCTTCCTGTTGGTTTTTCTCCAACCGTCCCACTAGATACCCCGCCCCATGCCTTGGACTCTGAAGATAGAAGAGGGTGGCCCCTGAAATCTGGGCCAGCATGGCTCTGACATTAAATAGCACCTTCTACATGCTCCGATTTGGGGTTCTGGAAAACTCTGCTAACGTGGGGGACTGTCAGGACCAAGGCTGCTGGTTCCCTTCACCATTGCCTGGGCAGGGGAAAGGGGAACGGAGTAGTTCTTACCTAATGTCTCCCAGCTTCTCGTATTCCTCCCGGATCCTCTTCTCTGACAGCTCCTCCCTTTTGGTCTTCTTCTTCTTGCTCAGAGAACAGGTCTCTTTGAAGCTAAGAAGGGAGAGTGGGCACAGAAGTAAAATACACGTCTGAGGCCAGAAACACTGCTCCTCTCCTGCTGTGACCTCCTCGCCTCTTCATACACCATGCCCCACCCTCCTCCTGTCTGCCTAGTTACCCAGCCCGTCTTAGACCTTCCTCTGGCCCTTGTTTATATCCGTCCGGATGTGGTTGGGGTGTGTCAGTGTGGGGTTATGTCTTACAGATGTGTAGCTGGGTGCTTATACCTAGTTGCTTCCTCCACACCACTGTCTTGCATGTGAGTAGTCAGAGTGTTGGGGGGAGCGTGTGTGCATGTGTGCATGTGTGTGCACACACACACTTATTTGTCTAGGGACAAGGTTTGCCTGGGGTAAAAGTAGGTGCTAGCTTTATATGACAACACTGGCCTGTTGTACACAGCCTTCATTGGATTGACAATACGTTGAGAAAAAGGAAACATTTCTTGACCAACGGAGTGATGGGTTCCATACACCAAGAAAGCATCATATGTATTTTCCTCTTTTGCATCTGAGGTTGATCACATTTAGAGTAGACGGACGGTTATGAAGAAAAGGCTTACTAAGCAGTTTAATATTAGAAATAATATCACAAGGGTCATGTCCAACTTGTCATTTTGAGAAATCTGATCACATTCCATACAAACTTCTAAACAGAAATCTCCCCTGTCTATAGAATTAAAGTCAGGGCAGCTTTACTTAGAACCATGTTTCTAAGAGTGGTTGAGGTGACTCTCTGATTTGAGGCCAATGAAACTCTATCACTTTTTAAGGCTGTCTATAGACCGGTCAGTGGTTGGAATTAGGGACATCTCGCTGTTCACTGAGAGGGAAGTACAGAGTTCGTGAAATCTTCGCGTCTCCAGAAGACAATGTTCAGCTCCTGGTCCGACCTCCTTCATCCCCAGAGCACAGGCTGTTGGGTCTGGGTCTGCCCACTTGGAGCGGGGCCTTCCTGCTTGACCCACAGGCTTTGGGAAAACCTGGATGTGTGCCAGCAGGGCCCTGGCACTCACTTGCAGCCCAGGAAGAGCCAGTGCATCCAGAACCAGCTGACCACCAGCATGATGAGCGAGATGGGGAAGCTGAAGAGGAACCAGGTTCCGAAGTTCACCACCTCTGCCGCCGGATACTGGCTGGAGGGTAAAGATCAGGCCAGGGGTAAGGAATGGAGGCTATACTTGGGAGTGATAGCCAAGAGCTCCTTCAGAAGGGCCAAGGACAGAGGAAACTGCAGTAACATTTGATCAGACCTTATCTAGAACTGTGCAGACTCAACTCCGCTCCTCCTCCTCCTCCTCCTCCTCCTCCTCCTCCTCCTCCTCACTGGCACTCCCTCCCGAGACCACAAGGACTTCTGTCCCTAGGTCCCCTATTCCATGTTGCTCATCAACTATAACTCTGACTCCTCAACCTGAAGGCTTCTCATGGCCTTCCTGGTGCTGTCCAAGCTCTCTGTGGGTCTGGCCAGCTCTTTGGCATCTGTCCTTCTCCCTCCCTGGCCCCCTTTGCCCTGTCATTTCTTTTAAGTGCTCCACTCTGCAGCCTTGGAGTCCTCCCACTGCCGTAAGCTCTTTGGAAGGTTTCCATCTGGCTCCCCTGCCTCATCATCCGGGCGGCCCCATCCCCATCACCCTCCCTGAAGGTGGCCCCATCGTCACTGTCCCCTCTGAGGGTGGAAGAGCTCCCTGAGCAGCATCCTGAACTCCTCTAACTCTCCTCAACCGGCACAGAAGCCACCCTGCTCTGACTGCTGCTATGTCCCTGGCTCCTAGTCCCCTCCTGGTCCAGCCACCCATAGAGGGTGCTGGCCCAGTACTTGCTGACCGAGTGAATTACTTACTTGTTGAAATGCTCTAGGAAAATAAGGCTGGTCGACGTGCCAATAATGGTGGTCAGGCCGCCAATGGTAGCGGCGTAGGATATGCTCAGGGAGAGGCACTTGCAGATCATTTGGTCGTGGTGGGATCTGTACTTCTTCCTGTTCGGTTCTGGGTTCTTAGAGCTGGGGGTCAGGACTCCTGGCTTTTCCTACCAAAGGGAAAAACTCAGTGAATCGTGTCCAGTGTTACATGGTTGTGGAGGTAAAGGAACTAATATATGCAAGACACTTGGATTACTTCCTGCCCTTCATTAAAGAATGGGCTTCATTGGGGCTGGGGAGACGGCGACAGGTTAGGAGTGCTTCCTGCTTTTCCAGAGGACCTGGGTTCAGTTCCCAGGACACATCAGGAGGCTCACAACCAACGGTAACTCTGGTTTAAGGAGATCTGTCACCCTCTTCTGGCCCCTGAAGGCGACAAACATGGGTATGGTCCACATCTATACATGTAGACACCCACACATACATATAAAAACAAATCTTTTAAAAATGATAAGCTATTATGATATTTTTCTGTTTTGGAGACAAGGTATAAAGGAACCCCTATTGGTTTCATGCTTATGTAGCTGAGGTAACCTTGGACACCTCTTCCTCCTCCTTCAACTTCCCAAGTGCTAGCATTATAGGTGTGCTATGGATTAAACTGATTGGCCAATAGCAGGGCAAGAAGAGACTGGGAAAGACAGCCTGATGCAGAGAGAATGATGGGAGGAGGAAGGGCGGGGTCAGGGGCGTTAGAAGGGATGCCAGACAGCCAGACAGCCGCTGAGCAAGAAGGAAGTGTAAAAATTGAGGTAACAAGCCATGAACCAGGTGGCAGAGCAGAAACAGAAATATGGGTTAATTTAAGTGTAAGCATTAGCTGGTAACAAGCCTCAGCTATTGACTGAGCAGTCATAAATCATATTCAGTCTCTGAGTCGGTTATTTGGGATCAGGAAACATGCATCCATTTACATGGGTACGTGCCACCTACCACTCCTGGCTTATTAGGATTTTCGGTGTTATTGATGTTATTAATATGGATAGCATTGTTTGTTTTTCACTTGGACTCCAATAACACTCCACTTTTCAGTTAAGTCAACAGTAGATGGTTATTATTTTGATTAAAATGTTTATTTATTTAATATGTTTGAATGTATGTATGTGCACCATGTGCATGCAGTACCCAGGGAGGCCAGAAGAGGGTGGCAGATCCCCTGGAGTTGTTAGAGGCAGTTGTGAGCCCATGTGGGTGCTGGGGTGGGAATGGAGTTCAGTGTCAGAATGCTTACTTACTATGTGCAGGGCCTTGGGTTTGCCACCTAATGCCGCACAGCAAAGTCAAGGGAGCCTTCAATTACAGAAGAGCCTAGCTTTCACGAGGAGAAGGTGACACACATGATCTCTCCCTCCCTGCCCCGCTCTTTTCTCTCTCTTGCATGCCTGCCTTTCCTTGTCTTGGCATGGTTGCTTGTTCTAGTTCACAGCCTCAAGTATGGACTAAAGAAGCAGGTGCCCCCCCATTCCTTCTAGGCTGAATCCCCTCACTCTTTCATTAATTCTTTTAATTTTAAAGCACTTTTTGACCCATGGTCCGATTCGTGTGGCCTCACAAGCCATCGTAACTAAACCTCATAACTAAACTTGCTCTTAAATCCCTCATCTTGTTGCCTCCTCCTCCCAAGTGCGGAAACTACCATGCCTGGCTGTACAGACCTGGCGAAGCCTGGTGCAAACATCAGCAGGTTCAAATCATAAGAACAGTGATCTTGCCGGGCATTGGTGGCGCACGCCTTTAGTCCCAGCACTTGGGAGGCAGAGGCAGGCGGATCTCTGTGAGTTTGAGACCAGTCTGGACTACCAAGCGAGTTCCAGGACAGCCTCCAAAGCCACAGAGAAACCCTGTCTCGAAAAAACAAAACAACAACAACAACAACAAAAAAACCAAAAACAACAACAACAACAACAAAAAAGAACACTGATATTTAGAAGAGGGTTATCTTGCTAAGGACCATGCTTTTCATGGCCCTTAACTATTGTCCATCTTCTGAAGGCCAAAGTAAGACTTGGACGCTTCCAACCATCGGAAGATTCACTGCTGGCTTGAGTTGGAAAGGACCACTTAGATTCTCTGACTCAAGGCTTTCCCATGATCTTTTCTTCTAATGGAATTTATACTGAGCCTGAATACATGAACTAACTGCAGCTTTTAACTGGCCTCAATTTCGTAGCTGAAAGACTACGAGTGCTCAAGGAGACTGGCTTGGAATCCAGATGCTGTGCTTCCCAGTGCCCCCTGCTGGCTCCTGGTTTCATTGCTCTACCACATTTGTAAGACTGAAGTTCAAAATCACTATCAGCTGGGCGTTGGTGGCGCACGCCTTTAAACCCAGTACTTGGGAGGCAGAGGCAGGTGGATCTCTGTGAGTTCGAGGCCAGCCTGGTCTACAGAGCGAGTTCCAGGACAGCCTCCAAACAATACAGAGAAACCCTGTTTCCAAAACTGCAAAAACAAACAAACAAAACAAAACAAAACAAAAAAAGCCCCACTATCCTATCCAGCCAGGACTGTGGGGAAAATGCTTAGCGCTGTGTTAGTACATGTTCATGGAATGAACATTTAATTTCATAAATAATGGCATTCGTTAATGGTGACAGTGAAGGATGTAAAACAAGTGAAACCAATGATGGATTAAAAAAATCTGAAACCAAGGGCTATACATAGGTGACTCATGCCTCCCAGACCAGCCTCAGCATCCGCTGCATCCCAGACCAGCCTCAGCATCCGCTGCATTTCTGCATTTTGTTTTAGTATTACAGCAACAGGAAAAGACTCACTTGTGCAGAAGAGCAACCGTGCTTATCAAGTCAGGACAGTAAGAGACAATACTTACAGAGGGGATTGGTAAGATGGCTTACTGGGCTAAGGCACTAGTCTCCAACCCTGATGGCTTGAGTTGGATCCCTGGAATGCATCTACGTGGTAGACAGAGAGAACCGACTCCCAAAATTTGTTCTCTGACCTCCCCACTTGTATGATGTGGGATGTCCTTCTGTTTGCTGCAAATCTGTGTTGCTTTTATCGGTTGATGAATAAAGCTGTTTTGGCCTATGGCAGGGCAGAATATAACTAGGTGGAAATCCAAACAGAGATATGGAGTGAGAGAAGGCAGAGTCAGGGAGATGCCATGTAGCTGCCGAAGGAATGAGATGTCAGAACATTACTGGCAAGCCACAGCCACGTGGTGATACATAGATGAATGAAAATGGGTTAATTTAATTGTGAGAGCTCAGTCAGTAATATGCCTGAGCCATTGGCCAAACAATTAGAATTAATATTAAGCCTCTGAGTGTTTATTTGGTAACTGGCAGGCAGGAAGAAAGAAACCTCCATTTACATTTGGACCTGCACACACATTTTAAAAATGAAAAATATTTATAGTGCCCTTGAAGAATCATTTGAACCTCATACCTACCAACTTTAAGCATTTACAATTGAAAAACACATGACCCAGAAAGTGGCTCATCCCGGCTCTTGGTGATGTCCAGTGAGCCCAGGCACTTTCTTTTCATGGCACTCACATCAGACACATAACTGCTCACTAATGACAACATCAGGGCAGGACCTTTCAGAGGCCCAAGGTATTTCATACAGGGTTCAGTTACCTGTCCCGAATGCTGCCTCTTACGTTGCTGTTGGTTTGCTGTTTTGACAGGTTTGGTGACCATGGGCACACCATTCAGGTTCTGCTGGGACAAAACCATCACACTGTTAGGAAGAGGATGTGGTCCAAGTGCCTGGAGAGGTACCACTTGTCCCAGGGCTACCCTAGGAATTGCCACTATGGGATTCAGTCTGAGAGGGCATTCCTAAGGGCAGGCCCTACACAGGGTCAGGATCCATCGTCACAGCTTCCATCCTGCAGGGGAAGAAGCTTCGAAACCTTGGGATCATCACTTTGTCCTTACAACCAAGACTGGTTTTCTGGGAGTTCGTTAGCAGCTGAAGAACTCTACTACTTAAGAAAAAAAAACCCAAAACAGTAGCAATAATCTAACACAGTGAAATCCACAGTTTGGGGGCTGGAGAGATGGCTCAGCAGTTAAGAGTATGCACTGCTCTTGCAGAGGTCGTGAGTTCAGTTCCCAGCACCCAAGTCAGGTGGTTCACAGCTGCCTATAATTTCAACTCTAGGGGATCTGAAACCTTCTGTACTTTGCAGGCCACTGTGCTTACATGCGCGCACACACACACACACATACACATGCACACACACATGCACACGCACAATTAAAAATAAAACCTTAAAAAATGCAGTTTAGTTGGCCAGTGATTCCTGTGAAGAGGTTTAAAACCTTTATGGCGAGAGGGTGAGTCTGAGCAACAACATACAGGCAACCCTTCTATCCTTAGTGTTAAGATTTTGCAATTGGAAACCCCAGTGAGAATAAAATCCTGATCTTGAAAATGAGGCTTTTGAAATCAGGATGTCTGAATTTTGGTTTCCATAAAAGACTAACTTGCCGGGCGTTGGCGGTGCACGTCTTTAATCCCAGCACTCGGGAGGCAGAGGCAGGAGGATCTCTGTGAGTTCAAGACCAGCCTGGTCTACAGAGTGAGTTCTAGGACAGCCTCCAAAACAATACAGGGAAACCCTTCCTAGAAAAACCAACCAACCAACCAACCAACCAACCAACCAACCAACCAACCAACCAACCAACCAACCAACCAACTACCAAAAGGCTGACTTGTGTCTTACTTATTTAACTTGTATCGACTTGTTTAGCTGCCCAGGACTCAGAGCTGAGGTTCAGAACCCCTCATGCCCTTCTCAGAAGCCCCGCTGGCTTCTTGTGTCCACCCTGGGCGAGCACCTCTCTGGCCTTAATCCACCGAGGCTGCTGGCCTGTTGGAAAAGCTGCCAGGCATCTTGGTGCCTGAGTTATCTTGAGGGGCTTCCAGGTGATGTCAAAGGCCAGAGCAGGGGACCAGAGTCGTACCTTGTTCTGCATCAGGGACGTGAAGTCTGCAGCCGATGTGCTGAAAGGAAGAAAAGAAACAGGGTAACCGGAGTGGAGCAGTAGCTCTTCCTTGTGCTGAGCGTTTGGTATAAGGGTCTTAACGTTAGACTCCAGTTTTCTAGCCTCCAAAGAGGACCAGTCTTTCCCTAGCCTTCCCTGACCCCCGAGAGGCTCCCAGAGTCCAGGGGCTTGCTTCCTCCCAAGGATGGGGCAGCAGCTTCATTTGAAGTGACACCAATATTCCCAGTAGTAGCAGATATGGAGTCCTGATTGGGCACAGACACTTAGATATGGGCTTCCTTCTTTATGGCACTGTCAACCCTCAACAGATGCAGGCCACCAGCATCTATCTGCATCACCACCTCGTTCTAGGATGTCAGAAGTGGGTGTACATAGGTCTCTCACTGTCTCATTGGAGAACCTGCGCCCTGATGGTACCCTTATCAGCTGACTCGAGACGATGACGATCTAGAGACAGACATGTGTGAAATGCTTATCCGAGGTGGCAGCAGCAGGAAGCCAGGTGAGGGAGAAAACGAGATGGGGAAGAATTTTGGGCCAGTGGCTGCACCTCATGGAGGGGACAATTGCCTGTGCCTGCTGAGTCCCTCCCGCATTATGGCTTCTGCGGTCTTTCCCTTGAAGACAGAAATGGGAAACAAGGAGGGCTGAACCAGCAGAACTGACAAGATGGAAGATGTGTGGCCATCCAAGAACCATCAGGCCTGGGTGGTGAAGAGGCCACCTCAAGGGGGTGACCTGCGGTCCCTGAAGCTCTGTGCCCTCAAGGGACTGGTTCTCAGACAGGACACTAGCCTGGAACTTTTTTACTCCTTGGTCTTCTCCGTATCCTAGGTTTGTCCCACTCTGGAGTCTGTAGAAGCAGCAGAGTGAGGGGACAGTAGGAGAGGGGGCGGGGGACAATGGAAGGTCAGGTTTGTTCCTCTCTTTCACCTCTTTCTTCCGCAGGCTTAGGCCCAGAGGAAACAGGTGTGGACTCCAGGAGAGAAGAGCAGCTTTGGAAAGAGATCAGAGTTTTGCTATGAACCTGGGCTAGGCTGCTGAGGATCTGAAAGTGTGAGATTATTCTGCCTCTCTGAAAGGTCCGGAAAAGCTGTGCCACCTGCCTGAGATGTGAACAAAGGTAGAAGACACAGAGCTACAGGTCATGATGGAAGACAGAGGTCAGACAAAGATGCCATTGCCACCAGGTCCCCTCTGTGTCCGTCCAGCTATAGGGATTGACTTCACTTAGTGCGAGCCTCCAAAGACCCATTGCAAATACAACTTTTAAATGTGTAGTATTTACCATGGAACACCCTTACAGGACCACATTTGTGTAGAGATTCTGCAAGGAAGTTAGTTGTTGATAGATTCCACAACATATGAATGCCCAAGAACATATGAATACCCAAGAACATATGAATGCCCAAGAACATATGAATGCTCAAGAACATATGAGTGCCCAAGAACATATGAGTGCCCAAGAACATATGAGTGCCCAAGAACATATGAGTGCCCAAGAACATATGAGTGCCCAAGAACATATGAATGCCCAAGAACATATGAATACCCAAGAACATATGAGTGCCCAAGAACATATGAGTGCCCAAGAACATATGAGTGCCCAAGAACATATGAATGCCCAAGAACATGAGTGCCCAAGAACATGAGTGCCCAAGAACATGAGTGCCCAAGAACATATGAGTGCCCAAGAACATATGAATGTTCAAGAATATATGAATGTCCAAGAACATATGAATGCCCAAGAACATATGAGTGCCCAAGAACATATGAATGCCTAAGAACATATGAGTGCCCAAGAACATATGAGTGCCCAAGAACATATGAATGCCTAAGAACATGTCTCTCCTAGTTTTGCCTTTCCAGAGCATCATACATACAGCCTGCTGCCAACTGCCCCCTGGTATTCTAAGTGAAGGTGAAACTGTGCGTGGTAGCCATAGGGCAGCCCCCACATTTACTCAGATTTAATTTTTTTTTATTCCCAAGTGTTCTGGGATTAAGGGAGACTCCATCATGATCTTGAGAAGTAGATCCCATGGATGGAGACAAGACGGCGGGCTTGGTACACGGTCTCTAAAGGAGATGCGTTTGCTCCTGTCTTTCCCCGCACCTCCAGTGGACCCAAGAGGCTCTGCCTGTGAGGAGGGCAGTCATACTCACTCTTCATTGACAAAGATGAGCTCCATAGACGTTTGCCTTTTGTTTACGTCAAGACCTACAGTGGCAAAGAAACACAGGAAGTGAACACCGAGGCCAGAGTGGACACTGCGGGGAAGACCAGGGGCTCGGGGCAGGGGCAGAGGTGTAGCAGACGACCTCCTCCCCGTCTCTCTGGTCCGAAGGTACAGTGGGGCGGTAGATGCAGGCAGACCCCAGAGTTTTGCAATAACGCTTGAACGCTTGGGACACAAAGGGAATGGGGGGGGCGGGTTACCTGTAATCAAAGTAGGTAAAAGGGTACTTGGGTTATGACATCTGGCACGGGTAAGGGGGTGATGAAGATGAGGGGATGGGCACCGGGCTGGGCTGTGTCGCAGTGGAGACTGGCAGGGAATCCAGGGAGGAGGGCGGAGAAGCAGAGGGGAGGTAGCCACAGTGAGCCGTACCCATGAGCTCAGCCTCCTCGGTGCCGGAGTTGCCTGGCACCAGCTGCTCCTCCTCGGCGTCGATCAGCTCCTGCAGCACGGCCTCCACGATGGGCATCACCATGGCGGTGGTGGAGGTGTTGGAGAGCCACATGGACAGCATGGTGGTGCAGCACATGAAGCAGAGCAGGAGCCTGTGGGGACAGAGGGGAGGGGCAGAGCGTCAACCTGCCGCACTGCACCGCTGTGACCCACCAGGCGCCGGTCAGCTTCCGGTTCCCAACGCTTGGCGCAGAGTAACCTCGATTCCAGCACTGGGTTCAGCGCACAATTTGCATTGGTGGCTCACGCCTTTAATCTCAGCACTCGGGAGGCAGAGGCAGGCGGATCTCTGTGAGTTCGAGGCCAGCCTGGTCTAAAGAGCGAGTTCCAGGACAGCTTCCAAAACAATACTGAGACACCCTGTCTCGAAAAAACAAGGAAAAAAAAAAAACCCAAAACAACAACAACAAAAGGATAGCTTTGGTGGGAAGATCCCAGGGTACGAACTCACTGGTTACTCTTCTTGCTCTGTGGGCATTAGGTGGGGGCTCTGTGGTGTGTCCCTTAGGGACAAGGGGGCTCTTTTCCCCATCCCTGCAGCCAGCAAGTCTTGGGGCACAACTGCACCCCCTTGCTCTGTGCAAGTCAGCATAGCGATTTGGGAGCAAACCGATGAGTGTCTGGCACTCGGTTCTGCCTGCTACTTGTCTCAGCATCGATGGCTGCAAGGATGGCCACAGAGCCGGGGAAGCAGTCCCCGTCACCGCTTGTGCGCCTGATTCCAGCCGGTCTCTGGAAGAGTCAAGCTTGGAGGGACACAGAGCAAACGTAACCTTCACATTATTTCCCTTTGACTTAGAGGCGCCGTGCAAGCAGTGCCTGGACAGACCTGGTGCTAGTGGTGATTAGATAAACTGAAACAAAGATGACTTTGTTTATATTTTAGGTGACTTTGCACAATCCGGGGACAGACAGCACACACGTGAATTGCGCCCAAGTAGGGCAGAGTGCTGCCGGTGTTTTGTTTGAGCTGACAGCGACGTAGTTTGAATGCTTTCCACACCCACGGGGAGCATGCCATGCGGGTGCAAGCTTGCTTGGGTAGTGTGGTAAACAGGGAAGGAGGGGCTCACAGACGGGTGAAGACTCTCGTAGATAGTATCGAGTTTTCGAGAGTTCTGCAGGGGCTGGAGATGCGGCTCAGGGCTAGAGTGCTTGCCTCGGGTGAGGACCTGGGCCTGCCTCATTCATTCCTTCCACATGTACTCAGTACCACAAAAGAAACAAAACTAAACCAAACTTAAAAAAAAAAAGGAGCCGCAAGTTCCCAACGTGATGGAGGAAATGCCCCGTGTGCCTGGGAAGCTGAGTGGGCAGACGGTTGCAGTGCCTACAAGGATTAAGCTGGAGTTAGCAGCTCCCCCTAGCAACCTGGGAGGCAGGACCATGCTTTAGAGTCCCAACATATAGGTGCAAAAGACTAATGCTGAAAACAAATGCTCCGTTGTTTACAGTTTGCCCCTCTGACCAGTGAGGCAGCTTACATAAGACGGAGTGAAAAGTTATGACTAGGAGCGGAGGAAGGGAAGACGAACATGGGAGATCCCACAAAACTGTCCACCTTAAGGCCCCACATAGTCTTTGAGGGTGAGAATCTCTCCTTCGTTGGCTTCTTGATGGCAGAGCGGAAGGAGAGCGAGAGAGAGGTCAGCCACGGCACACCTGATGGATCGGCGGTCTGAAACCCCACCGGCAACTCGGGTGGATGGGAAGAGATGCCCATAATTTCTTTTTTTTTTTTTTTTTTTTTGGTTTTTACGAGACAGGGTTTCTCCGTATTGTTTTGGAGGCTGTCGGTCCAGCCCGGCCTCGAACTCACAGAGATCCGCCTGCCTCTGCCTCCCAAGTGCTGGGATTAAAGGCGTGCGCCACCACCGCCCGGCTGATGCCCATAATTTCTTAAATGACAATGGAAAAGCCACCCAATTCTTTGTCCAGTGTGCACCCTAACCTACAGGGAAACATTTGGGAAAATATTTCTCTTGGCCATTTTGTGCTGTCACAAGGCCTTTGGGTGTTGCAAACCTAGCTGTCCCTCCAGTCCAGGTTGTGAGGAGAATGCCTTAGATTCAGGCGATAGTTGTATCAGGGCTGCTGTCCAAATCTGTGTTCCAGGGTTATCGGATCTCTCTCATGGATGCGGGAGGTAAGAGTCCATCCTTCTGATGTCACCTCCACACTAGCAGAGGAACCCAAGTACACAGCCTGCGGTGACTCAGGCCACTGCCCCCACACCCCACATGTGACTCACATGCCCGGCTTGGCTCCGGCCATCAAGACCATACGCAGGGCGATGCGCTTGTGCAAATTCCACTTCTCCACAGCCGCCGCCACGCAGATGACGCCCACGAGCAGCAGTGTTGTGTTCTTGAAGTACTCGGCCGCCACCTGTAGGGAGGGCAGCAAGGTTAGCCACCAGCTGGGGAAGGGCGTGGCCAGTACAGTGTGTTCTGAGAGCCAGAGGCCAGCGAAGCAGAAGCAGGGAGGTGAGGCTTCTTCAGATAGATAGATGGCTGCTTCCTTCCCTTAGCTGCCTTCGGTTCTGGGGTCAAACGCAGGGCCTTTGCCAGGCCGGGCGAACACTCTAGCACGAGCCTCCACCACTAGCTAAAAAAGTTGGTTATTCAAAAGCAGTAACTCTTAAGCACCAGCCGACCTTGGACATCCCCATGCTAAGCTCTCCACAAAGGTCATCTCATTCCACCCCTCCAATAACTTCATGTAGCCAATGGTCTCTATTTGTAGAAGGCACTAAGTTTGGATTCGATACGAATGTGAGTTTTTCTTTAATAAATTTATTTTGATGACTGTGAGTATAAAGAAAACTAACTTACATATATATATACATTTATTTTGGTATTAAAAAAGTTACTAAGACAGGATGCAGTGGCACAGACCTGTGTTGGGATTATAGTCAAAGCTGTCACACTCAGTGGGATAGAATTCTGCCTTCCTTTTTTTCCTGCTCCACTCAAATGAAGAAAAACGGGCACATTTGTAAAGAAAGGATAAGATTATAGGCTATGATTAATTTTTCATCCTTCTTGTCCACATTGCCTCTCCTGTACATCTGCCCCTCCCTTGCTGAGCCTTCCACTCCCGGCATTCCCCTTCCTCATCCCCTACGACCGGCTGCGCTCTCACTTGGAACACTCTGTCTCCATCTCTGGCTGTGCATTCAGAATGGACTTCAAGGCCAAGTTCAGGCCAGGTGCCCTCCAGAAAGCCTTCCTGGGGTTCTCGCCCCTGATCGGTCCCTGTGGACCCGATTAATTCCGTACACTATAGGGTGCCTGGGGCAAAGCCGGGGTCGCAGCTTTAGTGAATTCTGTACATTGTAGAGAATGCCAATCCCACATACTTTACTATATATTTAAATGTAGGGCAAGGCTGGGGTGGTGGCTTGAGGCTTGGTTATTTTTTACATCTGCCTCTCCAGTCTTTATTAAAAAGTTTGGATTGCCAGCAGTGGGATAACATGAAAAAGTAGATGCTCAATAAATGGCAGTCACATAGTTGGAGGTACCGTGGCAGAAAGGGAGGAGTTGGACTTTTAAACTTAAAATGTCTCTTAGAGTGACAAAACAGGAACATTTTTAACTGCAGGAAAAATAACTGCACGATAAAGGACATTTAAATATATAGTAAAATATGTGGGATTGGCAGCCAATAATATTGACATAACCACACTAAGGGTTTCCTTTTGGTTATTGGATTAAAGGAAGTTGGGGGGCTAGAGAGATAGCTTGGTTGGTAAAAGTATGTGCCAGCCAGCCTGATGATATGAGCTTGGATCCCCTGAGAGTCCATGTAATAAGCACGGACCTGCAATCCCAGTACGCCTATGGGGAGACGAGAGGCAGAGACAGGAGTCATCTGGAAGCTCTCAGATCAGCTAGACTGTCACAGAAACGAGAGAGACCCCGCCTCAAACAAGGTGCGAAGCAAGGACTGGTTTCTTAAAACTGCCCCCTGACCTCCACATACATCCCTGCAGGCACCACTCCTCCAACAGTTACTTATTGGAGAGCGAAGGGAGGCACAGTGGGGGCATAGGGAGCACAGGTCCTACCAGCCACAATGGGAGGCGTCATTTAATAACGTCTAAAACCAGTGCCTCGTGGGAGCATGGCGGTTGATGGCGGGGGCTTAGCCTAGGTGAAAGACGTGGCGTCCGAGGCTGGCTGGGTGGGACTTGATAAAAATGAGGTGAGGGCCGGGCGTTGGTGGCGCACGCCTTTAATCCCAGCACTCGGGAGGCAGAGGCAGGCGGATCTCTGTGAGTTCGAGGCCAGCCTGGTCTACAGAGTGAGTTCCAGGACAGCCTCCAAAGCCACAGGGAAACCCTGTCTCGAAAAACCAAAAAAAAAAAAAAAAAAGTGAGGTGAGGAAGAGCTGGGGAAGGAGCCGGGCGGCTTCGGTGATAGACTCTTCATCATCCGGTTTTACGCTTTGTTCAGATAGCCCTCCGTAGCCGCAACCAAGACACCTGCTCCGCCTTCACTTTTTCCTTTTGTTCCATGGAAATTTTCACAGCGTGGTTCACGTCTGTGACCACTTCCAGGGAGGCAGAGCCCTGTGCTTCTGGCTGACGTAGCTCTTGTCCCCAAGCTTACTCCTCAGCTGATCACGGTTGCTAATGCTCCCAGAGGCCATGGAAGGTCTCCTACTATGAGTGGTTTGAAACTATTCTGGGAAAGATGCTGCCCCCTAGGAGGAGTGAGCGTGGCTGGGACGTCTGGCAGGCTCTGCTGTGGGGATTAGGACCTCTCTAGTTTCCTTCCTAGGCTTCTGTGGGTTAGCCTGGGGGCAGGATTGTATTTTTCCTTTGTCTATGTGACACATGGAAATTGTGGGCAGTGGTCCCTCTGCTACCCTATGACCCCTGCCTCCCAACACCGAAAAGTTAATGAAACTGTAATTCTTCTTCTCGGAGCTGGTAACGACAGCGTGTTCTCTATTTCTTTGGCATGTGTCTTCCCTTAACACCGGTTTGTCTGTGATGCCTTTTAGAAGGTTCAGTGCTACACAGAGGTAGGACTTCTTTCTCTGGGTCCCACCCAGGGGTAAGAGGAGGATCGTCAGTAGACTGGAATGCCTTCTACACTCCGGGAGATTTTCAGTTTGCATTTTCGTCCTCCCCTGAGCCCTGCAGAAGTTCTGCTGGACTTACACTGGTTGTGTTTAGCTTTAAGACGAGTGGACTCAGAGAGGTTGAGGAACCCGTATGAAGGGCAAAGGTGGGGTATCCAAGCATAGCTGGAGCTAAAACCTGCGTATAGCATGCTGTATGAGGTGGACCAACCAACCGAAAGCCAGCTGGGAGCAGACCATTCGATGTCTAGGAAGCACAGGCCAGCACCCGTTTCTAACCTTGATCCACAGTCACAGTCCTGACACTTGGCTGTAACTGCTGAGGCCTAGTGCCAATCAAACACTCTGTTTCAGTTATTGGCTCTGGGATGCTTTCTCATTGAGGGTCTGATGGACTTAGATCAGTTCAACTGTTGTATGTGAGCCAGGGGCTCTTGATAAAGGCTGTGAGTACTGAGGTAGCATAGTTAAGTGGGGGAGGTGAGAATTCCAGTCAGCCACCCCAGGAAGGCTATGCAACCCCTCCCAGCTTTATTCTCCTCTAAATGAAACCCAGGGTTACGTAAATCCCTACCTTGTAAAGTTGTTGCTGCGATTAAATGCCAGTTGCAGGCCTAGCTAGCGTAGCCTGCCACATCAGCAACCAGGATTTCTGGGGACTCTCTTCCTGTTCCTAGGAACTTTGCTTGAATCCTGACCCGATCTGGGGCCATCAGCACCCTGAACAGGCTCGTGCACGGAGCTAAGTCACAGGCTGCATGCTTCGTCACATAGGTAAATGGAAGCCCCGCTCAGTGGCAGTCTCTGCGGCTTTTCCTGCCACTGACTTTTCTTCCACAATGAGACCTGCTTCTGTAGAACCCTTCCAGGGAATCCCCAAGTCTCCAGATCCCTAAGGATCATCTTAACCATGTTCTAAAGTGTGCTCCGGGCTTCCCGACTTTAACTAGGGCTCTTACTTTGCCGCAGCCTCTTTCCAGCATGGACATCTCTCCTGCATCCTACTCACAATCCAGCCGTGCTCACACAGGGGCATGCACGTCCCACTGGCTGCTGCCAGCACGGAGTCTCCATTGCCTTGGCCACATCTTATACTTCTGTCTTGTTCTCAGGCCATGCAGTGTCCTTTATGGGGACAAAGGTCCTTAGCTGCCCTTTCCCCAAGTTCTAATATTTGTTGGCTTGGAAGACCTGCTAGCAGAACCTGTCAGAGTTATCTGTAAGAAGCTGTGGGTCCTAACAGGGCACTCCTCCCAGGAAGACAGCGCATGGATGGATTTGTGATGAGTGTGGGCAGCCATTGCCTTCTCTGCCTTTCTGCTCCGTGGCTTTCCTCAGGTGCCACATCCTTGACGTTGGAGCGTTTGGAGATTGCATTTTAGAAGAGATGGGTCCCCTTGAAAATATGTCATCACAGAGGTAGATGGTGAGGAGCCTGGGCTCTGGAGATCAGCCTGCGGCTGTTACCCTTCCCAGCATCCATCCAGCTCACCCATGAGTTGGAGGCTCTAGGGCAAGCTAACGAACCCCATATGGGTCACTCCAGCCTGTAAACTGGCAACAGCAGAGCTACATAACTCACTAAGTAATAGTCATGGCCTTGGCAGCCTTGAGTGAGACAGAACAGCTGGGTCCTTAGACGTGCTCAGCAGGAAGTACTTAGCAAAAAAAGCAAAAGAAACCAATGCCAGGGGCTGGGGGATGAGGAGAGGGTCGGCCAACACAAGCAAGAGGAAGGAACGAGAAGATACAGGAGGGACAGGGCAGACACACAAGATAGAAGTCCCTCAGTGAGAGGGACCGGATGGCTTTGAAAGAGCTACCGGCTTGGCCTTGGTTTAGGGAACCAAAGCCACACACAGGATGCCTGCTAACTAACTAGTCCTTTGTTAGGGAATTGCAGGTGACTTTAGCTAATGGTTGAGCTTTAAACTTTACTTTCCCTGGATACAAACATAACCTGGACACACCCACCTCCCTTTATCTGCAGTTTTACTTTTCTGTGGTTTTAGTGACCCGAGGCTAACAGTGGTTGGAGAATATTAAATGGAAAATTCCAGAAATAAACAATCCCTAAATTTTAACTTGTACTCTTCCCAGTAGCAGTATGAAATCTGCTGCCTCCTATCTGGGACATGAGTTATCCCCAGACCCAATCTACTCTGTGTGTGTTATTCTCCTGCTAGTCTGAAATCAGCCGTATTAGTCATTAGAATCACTGTTGTTTTGTGGTACCCGTGTTCATGTGACTCCTTGCATTTAAAAATGACCCTAAAGCAAGGAGTGGAATGACG